TAGCGATATGGGGGAGATGGTGGATAGCTAACTTATCCCTTCATTACATTTTGAGACAAGCAATAAAACCTTATTATCCATGCTTAATTTTTTTATGTGATAAGTTGACAAAGAGCAGGCAGTTCACCTGATGTTAAGTAATAATCGTCGCCCACAGACATCTGCTACACCGAGGGTTCTAGATGCGTTTGCGTTGACATCCTTTTGAAAATTGGGCTCCTGCCACCTCACTAACCAGACGAAACGCGAAAGTATTATACTTCCACTTTACGCCAGTCTTCTGTGAGGTCGTGATACTTACCCGGACGAGCCTGCCCATTCGTGCAACAGCCGAGGCTGCTGCGTGGCCCTACCACCGTGAACGTGCGATGTGTACGCGTAGATGAAGTTTGAGTGTGAGTTTGTTATACTTATTCTTTTACTAAGGACTTAATAACAACAATTAAACACCAAATTTATAAGAACATTGCAAATGTGTGTACGTTTGCAATGTCACTGAAATGCTTTCATTGTTATGATACTTTTGTTATCCTTATCATATACTCTGGTATATAATATATCATCGGAGAAAGTCTAAGTAATAAAAAACAAATGAAACAATGAAAAAAAAAAAACAAATGAAATTACGGATTACTACTTATTTGTCATTTTATTTCCCGGCGATTCGAACTCCTTTCAGTGTTCATGGTCACAGGAAAGACAGAGGCGTTGGATGTCGAAATGTTAGCCCAGGCACAACGGTTAAAACATGAGTTGAACATAAAAAAGTTTTGGAGCACGTACAATACAAATTCTATATTTTATTCTTATTTAATTTATACTTCGTGATGGTAAAAGCGATATTTAAAATATAATTAATTATCTTTGTGTAAGGTTTTATTTTGACTTAATAGGTGAGCTCTCGTGACATGTGTGACCATTCCAACCAACGGCCGACAAGGCATTCCAATGGATTCGCCGTAAATGGTTGAGGATAGCGGACGCGGGCCGTGCTTTTTGCCGTGATGTTTCTGGAACGTACAACCAAGGAATGAAATTTTATATGTTATGCTAAACTATCCTATCAGAATATCCAATTTTAGATTAGGCCCGAAATTTCTCGGCTACCAGAATCGTCTCACTCCCAAAAGATATTAGACATTTACATACTAAGTGATGTCTGTTATATGTGTTATTTTAATATTATAACAGTTGTTATAAAAAAGACACTACTATCATATGTTAAAAAAATCTCCGAAATATATTTAAAATTAAATAGCACAGCACACTAATGTAAAGTAAAAAAAGTAGCAGCCGACAATAATATGTACCAGTTCACTGCTGGACACTAACCTCCTGTGTATAAGATTATTAATAAAATAAAAACATACAATATTACATAATAATATATTAATGTTCATTACAGCACATTCGTAAGTTAAGATATCTTTCAAAGTAAACTGGTTAAAAAAAAGCTAGAGAACTACTATAAAGGGTTTAAAGGGTTAAAATCCAAGAGAACGAAAAGCAAAACCTTAATAAAGTTATTAACACTTCAGATTTAGATAAACCAGATTTTCAAAGTACACTATCATAAAATGTGTTAGTTATTTGATAGATTAATGATAGTGACATAGTTTCGTAAAATATATTAACGATAAGTAGGTACTAATGGTATTTGACTGTGATAGATAGAAACACCGTTAAACATGCTTGGGATGCGATTGCTTAGCGGTGCTGAGTGAGGTCTTGCTAAGACTGTGGTAAATACCACGGCCTTGGCTATGAAGTAATAAACTGCTTAATTACAGTGAAAACAAGTCTAGGCTAAATAATAAGATAAGGAGCTTAAAATAGCGCTTTGTATCAATATCGTAAAGGCAATCTAGTGCCAAACTTGCTTGCTAGATATTGCAAGAATTTTGTTTTCGTTCTTGTTAATTTTTTAACACTATAAAAGAGATTGCGCGTAACATTCCAACCTTTTAAAGCCTTGTGAGCCTCAACGGATTTATCTTTTGATATAAGGATAAATCTGACGTCAAAATACCCTATCAAATATATAAAATTCTCGTGTCACGGTGTTTGTAATTGAACTCCTCCGGAACAGCTCGACCGATTTTCGTGAAATTTTGTGTGTATATCGGCCAGGGTGGAGAACCGAATCTATTTTTCGTCCCCCTTAATGTTAAGGGTGATCCACCCTAAATATCTTTTTCTACCCTACAAACTCCTTAGAAATAATTTATACGGCAAGACAACGTTTGCCGGGTCAGGTAGTTTTTCTATAAAATAGGAGCTTATTAAGAACGATAACTACAATGCAGATGACATAATAGATGAAGTCTAATATTTGGTGAAGTTTTTATGCTGGGAAAAATCTATGCCTGAAATGGAAATTTTGTTATCAATATCTTGGATTCAAGCTTAATTTAAACCTAAGAAGAAATAGGGTGTTCACGTTTCAATTCTACAAATGAAACCTTTTTCACTTCCCATCTTTTTGCAGTCACAGTACACTTTACATTTTTATTGTCTCCGTAGAACTTTTCGATTTAATACTGTTAAGTTTCACCACTAAAAACACGACATAGCACCAAGTACCATCATCGCCAGCTTGATAGCTTTAGAGTACACCATGCGGTTTTCAAATTTTTCTGCAACATATCACTTTATGGAATTAATTGGCATGAACAGTATTTATATAAATAGATACAACAAAGAGGTTTTTAAGAGCAGATACAGCAATCGAGCGTATGGAAATGTGGCTACTGTTGTTTTAGAAAATCGTCGTACCGTGAATAGTTACTGTTACACGACCATTTGTTTGCTTGAAGTTATTGACGTAAAAATAACTGCATACACCGAATCATCTTGCACCACGACAATGCTAGTTTCCACACGGTCTGGCCGACAAACGAATTTTTGAACTTATAAGCTATCCTGCATATAGTCCCGACCTAGCACCTTGTGACTGTTTTATGTTCCCAAAAATTAAGAACCAATTACGTGCTCAACGACTTTCATCACCAGAAACGGCTGTCGTAGAATATGAGAAACATGTTTACCACAGAGGAGCGACAAAAATGTTTTCAAAATTTATTTTAATCGTATGAAAAAGTGCATTTACGCAAAGGGATATTATTCTGAGAAACAATAAATTAATTTTCGACCTTTAATGGTATTTTTTCCTTATTCATTCTGGAAAATTTTAATACGTCCCGTGTATTCAACGTGTTCTCTACGAGTATTCAAAGGTTTAAATTTCCATTAATGAAAAATATCATTTCGTATTATTTACATCATCATTTTAGCCTGTTTGAGTCCTCTGCTGAACATAGGCTCGCCACGAAGCACGCTTCTGAGCCATCTGCATCCACTGACTTTCCACACTCTGAGGCTGCCACCCGAGAGCTTTCTTCCCCATCGGTTATCGGTTCTTCAAGCTATATGCCTGAGCCATTGCTTAAAGGATTACTTTGAGATATCGGTTACATACTGCAGGAAAAATATTTTGAGAAGATGTTAAAATTGTGTCTGTGTATTTAGCTAAAAATGACAGTATTGACATCAATCAGCAAATAACGTTTTGAATTTAGGAATTTTATTACCATCATTAAAACAGATGGATTATTGTAGCAATGAAAAAACTCAGATAAGCATATTTTAAGTTCATATAAAAGATTTGTTGACTCTTTGATAAAGGATAAGAGAAAATTGAACTAAATAATTATTTGAGACTAATTATTGTCTAACTTCAAAATACTATTTAATTATGAGTACATAAAAATATTTTAGTTATACATATAAATAAGTTATAACCTATAAAAATGAAAAAAAATCCATATCAGTATTTGGTTCTAATAGCGGCTAGAATCTATTTATTACATAGCTAAATTAAATAGTTATACTACATGAAAGGGAAAAGTTGTTTTTGACTTTTAGTTTATTTTGATGACGTAGTCATTAAAAGAGCGGTATACGATAGAGGTTATATGGTTCACATAGCAACACGTTCAATCGCGGACGACGGTTTTTATTTTTTCCGCATTTACGAAAAAGTTCTCTTTCTAATAATTGGATTTAGATTTTTTGATGGGGTTTTAGTTTATCTATCTTACTTTAGGCATTAGTATTAGCATTATTATTAGCATTATTAACGGCTTGTTCCAAATCCTTATGAAGAAAGGACATTCTAAGTTTTCATCGTTTCATTATTCAAAGTTAGATGAAGGGAGGGAAGTCTGCTTTACATTTTATAAAAAAAATATCACATTGTAATTAACTCTTACATGTTATAAAATTTCTTAAATTTATATTTCTTAAGGTTCCTTTGGATATTACTTTCTATTCACTATAATATGTTTAAATAAGCATGTAAAAGAAGGATTTTTATTGTTATAGACATAGCATAGGCGCCATACTCCAAATATACTGTTATAAGCCCTCTTTTGTGCGGGACTAAATAATCTTGTAAGAAGACAATGAAGGAACCTTTGAAGAATTTCTGTGTTTAAAAATTTAGACAACATGTATCGCTTTTGTAACAAGAATACTGTGAATAAACAGGTTGTAGAATCTCAAAGTAGTATAGAATATGACATAAGACTATGAAAATAATAATAATAAACTAGTTTAGCTGTCTATTAGCTTGCTACCGGATCTTGCATATAGCAAATATATTAAAATTTAACGTTATTATTTCGAGAAAAGATTAATTGAAGAATCCCCTTTATTTAACTTATCATGCTATCATTCTATCATTATTAATTAACCGACGAAATATTTTCTGAAACGTAATTACTTTCATTGACTGCTGTTGCTCTGGTCTACTTAAAATAATCTTGGACTAACAATGTATGTCTTTTATGAAAATATATCATAATGTAATAAAACTAATACTGTAATACCCGTAATCTTAATATATATTTTATCTATTTCTACAATAAACATCTGTAAAGGAAAACAGTCTTATAAAAATGAGCACGTTTTTGTGTTTATTTAAAAACGTCTTATTGTTAAAATCTGGATACTTCATTGGTTCTTGCAAATTCCTCTTTTCTACCGGGATCCGTTACAGTTGCCGCACGTTGTCGCCTCGTTAAAACGTATATAAATCTGAAAAGACGATAAATTTAAATAATTGGATACCTTGGTAACACTAACTTTCCTGCACCTACAAAAGAATTTACTTTATTCTCCCGTATTAATATATTCTTATTGCGACTACTTTAAAACCACTTTCACTGTTGACACCAAAACGGCGACTTATGCAAGATTTTAAAACGAGCTCCATAGACGCATTTGTGCACACTTGTGGTAAAAACAGAGTAAAGGTATATATAATATAAGTAATTATATTGTAACATATTGATCAAAAGCATTTGGCATTTGGAAATGTCACGTCGAACGTACTTAGTCCCATTCAATGGAGAATTGTATCTGCCTTAATTGTTTTAAAACTCAATCGAAAAGTTGAATATCGAGTTTTTGTGCGCTTTTGATCTTGTTTATGGTACAGCAATGCTAATAATTCGAAGCATGGCTTAAAAAATAAAAATCCCAAGTATCGGAAATTCCGATCGATTGAATGTTTCAAGGATTCTCCTTCACGATTTGTAAAGACGCATAAGCAATTGTTGTTATTCGTTTAAAGAATACAAACTGCTTTTTATTGATAATTTTCCTCCGGTTTTGTGTTTTGAATATATAAAATGCAAAAATCCCATTTCTATTGTCTTGTAATTTTACTTGACGAAATGATAACGGAACAATGTTTTTAACTTATTAAAAGTGACTAAAATTACTATCAAAAGCATGACTAGTGACAGATATTTAGTTGATACTTAAAAATCATATTGACTTCTGGATTTTACATATCAAATGAGACTAGTTCTGTCTAGGCACAGATTGTGGCGTGACCACGAACGCTGGAAACCGTCGGGAATTGAAAATCAAAATTAAAATGCGATAAAAACTCTCAGTCTCATTTAACACTTAAAAACCCTTTAAAAATATAACAAATAACTTACATGAACAGGCCCAGGGCAAACACAGTGAGAGCTGCGTCGAATAAGTAAAATGCCCCTGGAAATGTCTCAATTGTTGATATATAAATGAAACTCGACGTTGGCATGTATATCGAGGGCGCTATAGCCTCTGTGACACCCATTAGTGAGCTTAATTTCGCTGAAATAGAACGTTTGTCGTTAAAGAAAATCTGTTTTGATTTACAATTCAATTGGATTGGGATTCGTCCTTTTTTTAGTAGCTGTTCTCAGTGTGTGTGTCTTCAGTGTTATTGTTAATAGTAATGACCTGATGAGAAGACACAATTTGGATTCCCGCAGCGCCGAAAGTTTTTGTTCATTTATGTACAAAAATTTACAATTTAAAGTAATGAATTTATTAAGTAAAGTCAATACTAACTACTTAGAATTTTTTCCCAATTTTCCTACCCAACGGGTGGTCTGTAGCTCTATCAATGATATAATATTTTAATTCTAAACTGAGCAGAGGTTAACGTATATAAGCAATATAAGGAGTAGGGAGTTCGATATATAAAATCAGAAATAGCGATACATCGATGTATTTTAGCTGATATATTTGGATCGTCAACGGCGTAACGAGAAAATATAGATATATAGATTTTTTCTCTTTAGAATATCTTCACTATATCGATACATATCTAGGCCAATATTGATATTTTTATTAATATCGATATATCGATATATGGATATATTTCTTCACTTTCCACATCCCTAATAAGGCGTCAGGCTACCCCGAAGGTGCAAGAACGAATTCTCGACGCGGCGAAAAGTTTTTTGACTATTTCGCTACACATTTTATGCATCATCTTAAGTACAGATACTATTATTAAGAAGAAAAGTCCATCCTATGTATTTATATATTATCTACTAGATATGCCCGCAACTTCGCCCGCGTGGAATGTAAATAAAAAGAAATCTAAAATAAAAGTAGCCTAAGTTACTCCTTATTACATCTGCTATTTGTCAGTGAAAGTCCCGTCCAAATCGGTCCAGCCGTTTCAGAGATTAGCCGGAACAAACAAACAGACAGTCAGACAGACAAAAATTTAAAAAAATGTTATTTTGGTACATGTACCGAGTATTCATCCATATGTATTTAGTAAAAAGCGGTAATTTTATTATTATTTAATATTAGCGGTAATTTTAATTAATTTTAATATTACAAACAGACACTCCAATTTTATTTATCTGTATAGATAATCACTGTTGGATCCACTTATTGGCCGTTGAATCAAAAGCATAAATTTCTCACAGGCATCGTTGCGAGCTTCTATTGAAAAGTAAATAGGTATACAATATAATGTACGTAATCTTAGATAAGTATCGTGTACAAAATAGTTAACTTAATATTTTATTAAATAAAATAAATATTACATCGTTACTCATAATTCGATTACGTCGAATATTAGTTAATCATTCAAATTAGGTATATAAAAAATAATTAATAGATGATCCTCTACATAAATCTTCTTCGTACTATCTTAAATATGTACAACAAACAAAGTCGTGTTATGATAATAACGACGCGTAAACCTTGTGCTTAATACAAACTGAGTATGTGGTTCTTGTGCACAAGTACTATTCAAAACATGCTTAGAGTCTAAAGGAATGATTTGAGTTTGTTCAATTAGTGATGATTACTTGTAGTCACAGGTGTATATTTTTAATAACTATTTTGTAGTAACATATACAATACAGAAGGCAATTAATTAGCCTTACTTCCTTCCTATCCTAACTAATATTATAAACGCGAATGTTAATTTTATATATGGATGGATGTCTGTTACTCTTTCACGCGAATACACGTACCTAGGCTATAATTTATTACGATATTGTGTGAATTGTCCAAAATGTTATGATAAGTGTCAAGTAATTGGAAAAAAATCTGCCATCTGCGAGCTATTTTGGTGTGCGCTGCATAAACCATATATATATCTATCGCTTATGTGTAAGTCATTATTGTCAAAATAGTGATTTTGACTTTGACTTGACTTTAAACCATAAATGCAATAAAAATTGGTTATTTATTTCTAATGCATATTTGATAGTAACAAATTGATTGTTATCTATATCTATATCTACACTATAATAAAAGAATAATAAAGGAGTAGATTCCGTGTGTCTGTACATTGAATAAATTTATTAAAAAAACGAAATAGGGTATCACAAAAAGAGTTAGTTCGTGTGAAAAGTAGTGTAAAGAGTGTTGAGTTCGCTCTGTTTGTCTGTCGGTTCGCTTATAACTTCAAAATTACTCATCGAATTTTGATGTAATTTTCACTGGTTACTGACGCTTCGCTTGTGGCAACATATAGGCTTTGTTTCATCGCAATCGGTTTACTTAAACGAAAGACATACCAGTACTAATATTCAAACAGTGCAGCCAAAAACTGTGTTATCCTGTGATATGTGTGTGCTGTTTAACCACTTACTGGATCAATTTTGTCGATGTTTTCGAAAGTATATAAGGAATATTTCTGTGCAAAATTTAAACTTTGTTTCAACAAACAGAACATATACGTCAAAAATTACTGGATCAATTTGAACAGTTTTTCCTTTTTTGAAATGGCATATTTCGCAATACAAAAAAATAAACATCCAAACAAAATTTGCAATCGGCGGTAAAATGTTTAATATGATAACTTGTATTTTCAAGTTTTTCTTTTAAAAAAGGACTTCCATAACAAATTCTTCAATTAACAGAATTATAACCCACCCTACGCTATAGCTTTGTATTAACAAGTTTAGGATATTATTGAAATTGCTTTGTGATTTGGTTAGTTTTTAGGAATAGTAAACTTTCTATTCTTTTTTTGTATTTCACTACCAGTTCGTGTTCCTATTTTCTTTTAAGAAACCTTACTTCACAATAATATTGGTATATTGTGCAATGGCGAATTCCATTTTCAGTTTTTTAAAGTAAATTTCGACAATAAATTGAAATAATTGAAGCTGAGATTCTGACTGGGTGTGGCTTTTTTAATGTGAGAATATGTTAATTGAGCTTTCGTTTCATCTGATGTTAATTGATTACCGCTGCCCATGGACATTCAGCCAACCAACAACACCAGTATGGTTGCAGATTCGTTGCTACCATTTATTACAGTGGGCTCCGGTTACCTCACTTGCAAAACAGAAGTATAACACGTCCACTTCTTCCACGGGATACCTATTCGTGCAACAGCAAAGACCGTTGCGTTGCATATTGTAGCCCTAAAGGCTAAAGGGTAATGACTTAAGATCTATTTTTCCCAAGCAACATAAGGCAAACCCAAGTTGGTATATAAAGGCATATTTTGCCTGTCTTTCTGTCTGAATGGCCTTCAGCCTATTCAACGCTGACGTAGTCGTGGGCTAGCTAGTATATAATAAGCAGAAGGTACAAATGAAAAAAAAAAAACAAGATAGCCCTTCCCTATTATCTCCATAACCCCTGACGGGTTGTAACCGCGTACATTTAAATTTCTAAGAAAGTAAACGTGTTGCATAGATAATGTGCAATATTGTAAATGTGCGCTCACGAGAATAGAAACAAATCCAGCTTGATTGCCGCTAGAGCCGTAAGTTGTAAATTTATGAGAGATTGGCTCAAGGCAAGAAACTTTTGTCACTCCTGGCAAACATCATGAAGGTAATCAAGGGTATAAGACGTAATTACATATTGTTTTCTTATTCTAGATACGTAATTACGTATATTTGTATATTTTTATTCGTATATTATTATTGTAGATTTCATATAATTTCAGGTTAGATAAACTTTGTAAAAATTCACAATGTAAGAGTTATGTTTGAAAATGTAGCACCTCAATTAAGGCCCTAGACATATTTTTAAGTTTTGGGATTTTGCATTATTTTAACTTAATTCTTCTGTTTGGTCAGTTCATTTATTTTTGGAAAATATTTCTAAATGTTTTTTGCTATTGTTGTAGAAAAACTTGAACATGCCAAAATTCAAAAATGAAAGATAGAGGAAGATCTGACAGGTGCCGACATGACATGCGGTCTTTTTATTTTTGATGTTTCAATTTTTTATACGAATTATCTATATTATTATAAATTCGTTCAACCAACGGTCTACGTGAAACCAAAAAGCGCTTAATATAACCCGTAACTAAAATTGTATCGGCACCGCAGGCTCGATTTTAACACTGCCCGCGCTAGTAGAACCCAAATGTCCAAATAAACTTGTCAAAAAATTTGACTCACCAACTTCCTCTGTAGGCACGAGTTTCGTAGCAATTGCTCTAACCGCTGTAAGGCCGGTGTGACTGAATATGTTGAATAGTGGGGCGGAGTAGTACCATTCTCTGTTCGGAGCGAAAGCGAAGACGAAGCACGACGCTATTCTGCTGATGCCAGCCAAAACGCCAATTACGCTGTCTTGAACATCCAGTTTTTTACTTAAAAACGTTACGCAAAAAAAAGTGCCTGCAAGGAAAAGAAAAACAGCTATGTAAATAGCAGAATTCATAGTGTTAACAGCATACCTTAAAATATACATCCACATGCTGTGTTCATGCGTGGAATAGTAAATGTGTGATTTTATTGGTACACATAAAGAAAGCATCTGGGTATAATACAAATATTGATTATTTTATCAACCCATTTGCGATGACAAGCGCACTGGCTGTTCACCTTACGTTAAGTGATAAGCACCGCCCATGGTCATTTGCAACACCCGTAGGGATGCCGATGCGTTGCCACATTTTAATAAAGTGCGCCTTGGCTACCCCCAGTATAACACATTACGCCGGGCGTCTGTGAGGTCCTGGTACTTCCCCGTACGGACCTGCCCATTCGTGAAACAGAAGACTGTTGCGTGACCCTATTGAAAATGTTTGGTGTTACGGTTTTAGACCAAACAAATATGCGGAAGACATTTTGATAAATGCGATTAGAACTAAATGGCAAAACCTATATACCGAGCCAAAAATTTTTACTCTCTCAAGAGTGTGTTAGGAAGCTTCACGTGATGGTAAGTGGTAACCATCTATGGACGCAAACATAAGACGTATTGCAGGAACGTTGCCAACCTTTACGAGACTAGACTTCTGTTTACCTCTAACAGATGACTAAACTGCAAACGTTTATATACTTCCACTGCCAGACTGGCGTAAGTCTTCTGGCTTATGAACCGGGGTAATCCCCATCGATTCAGCAGATTTGATCGCAGTGGACATACATTATGGGCTATAAGGATAAAATCAATTCTTAACAAACAGCTTGAATGCTTCTTTATATTCAACACACTTCCACTTAAATATTTTGAGAATTCTTTTGACGTGGTTCCCTTACGGCACTGACTACTGAGTAGTGTTCTTCAGATTCAACTTTACATTCAGCCCGATTTAAGCAAAAGTCCAAATAGTGGTTATTATCGAAGACTACGCATTATCAGCGATTCTTAATTGCGCATAAGCTTAAAAATAAATAATGCCGTCCAACAAGCATACGGTAGGCACTGATAAACAACTATATCGTTGATGCCAATAAACATAAAAAATTGTAGTTGATACTTACAAGATGTTTTTATATTTATTTATAATAGTAATATAAAAACATTGCCGGGAAGGTATCACGCAGGCGTTGTTAAGTGATTGGCACTGAGAGCGATTTCTTTCGCCCATTCAATATATTATAAATAAGTTATAAACAACGAAGCCGAACGTAAACAATCTTTACGTTACGTTCGGACGTACAGTTCAGTTCGCATTTTTACCGATAACCTATTATCGGCCACATATAAAGGTAGAAAAATCATATTGCTCATTATACTAAATATGTACAATGTACACCCGTATTTGATAGATCTTGACACCGCACCTATCTACCGATAAGACGGTTGACGACCGAAGGAGTTCGAATACCCAGCTTCGACAGCACATAGACCTTACAACCACGTGTCTTTGCTCACTTGTGTTTGCTCGCTGATTGTAATTTTAACAGCTGATTTCCCACATGCTCTGCGATGTTTGAAGTCCGCCAAACTGCAGTGGGGTCGCGTCGCGTATTTGTCTTTAGAAACTCAGTCTTGATGAGACATTTACCCAGTAATTGGACATACAATATATATTTTTTGGCTATTAATCACTTACTTTCTGTGCGCCCAGTAAGTTTTAAAAATTATCATATACGAATATATATTGGTTTTGTCACAGCTTTGATAAAAATTTATGTTAATGATTATATTTACTAAAATAATGATTATATTTATCATCGAATCTATACAAACGGCATCATTAGATGGCAATTGTGTTGTCTCAATAGGATCTGACTGTTTAAGTAAACAGTATACAACAAAGGTACACACACGGACTCAATTAGTTGAAAATATTAACTACAACCGTGATAAATTTTTAGTGCTAAATTATCACGTGCTCAGTGGTGAGGGAACCTGCATATTTTCGAAATAATAATAAAAAAAAATATTTCCAAGATATGTGAACTCCGCCAATCCGCAGTGGGGCTGCGTGGTTGACTATGCCCTGATACCCTTTGTGCAGAGGACGCCTTTGCCCAGCAGTGGGACATGTATTATAGTGACTATATAATATTGTATAGTACTTGTATAATATACAAGTAGGCTAGCCACGTATGGCCACTCATCAGTTTCCTCAAACGGGCTTCATTCGGAAATTGTAATTATTTTATATAAAATTTTACATGTTTAAAATACTTTGTATTGTGCACTAAGATAAAGCAAGCCTTGACCTAGGTCGATAAAATCATTATTAAACTATGCCGCATAACACTCGCAATTGTGCAATTATTTGGTAAAGATTACAAAGGTTATACATGCAAATATGTTTTGTGATAACAATAAATTCTGCGTTGAATTGGGCCTCTTCGCCTAAATGCGTCAATTCCAGCAAAACAGATTGCATTAAACCATCAAAAATGTTAACCATTTAAAATAACACAAAAAATAGTTTTAACAATCATTTCTATAAATAAGTTATTTGTTTCTACAACGATTGATTAAAATTATGAATAATCGTAATTGTTGAATAAAATTGTTTTACTTTATAAAGTACTCATCCGTGGCAGGAAAAACCGCAGGAAAATATTTGTAGTGTCGAGAATTTTAAAACAAAAACAAACAAATAGTGAGTGAGTCGATAAAAGAAATAATTAAACGATTTATTTTTCATGTTATGATTATATCACAGACTCTTATTTTACCTGTAATTGATCGACGTGTGTTACCGAAATTTAAAAACAGATATTAACAAGCGTCTTTACAATAACGCATTAATATTACAAAATATGCCTTATTTCCCAATATCACTTTCAGTTTTGATGACTTCCTGTTCTATAAAAGCGTCACTCAAGAATTCTGCTTGTTATTTTCTTAACCTAAAGCGATTCAGCATTTCCGTTTTATCTTAAGGATAAATTTAAACTAAAGCCAAAAGATATGGCAAGAGATCTCTTATCTAAAACAATCTAAATATTAAAATTATATATGTTTATAATTTTTACAGTAACTTTTTCATTGTACAGGCTACACTTTTTTGCAGCAACCTGAAAATATAGGGCGGCATACCAGACCCTCATTTAAACGTCTAGTGCGGATAAAACAAATTGAGGCGAATGTCATCATGTCATCAAAGTTCAAATGTTTTTGAGTGTGGAGTACACAGTATTTGTGCATTTTTATATATTTATAAGCGGACCTGACAGACTTTGTTCAGTACACACGTCTTAAATTTTACAATATGTTATAAATAAAAAAGATAAAAAAAAGAATTGTGAATCTACACCATTCTCGAATCGACCGGAAGACATGGAAAACATATTTTCATTAAAATCGGTCCAGTCATTAAGGATGAGTTCAGTGACATACATACGTACAGAAGAATTATATATATATAAAGATGTGGTACATGTTATACATATGTATGTTATATAAAATCTGTATATGAAATAGAGATTTTATATACTGCAATTTTGGATAAATATTTTTCATACAACCATTGTTAAATATTTTTTAATATATATGCATGTGTTTATTTATTTTTACTTCATTCGAATTTTCCTATTTAATCCCAAATTTTGCCTTAAATTAATTCACCTTCGACAATAATTCTCCACGCCCCCGGTTGACAGAATGTCGCAGGTGGCATTAAGTCCACCGTTTGTAATCATTTGTAAGGTATTTCAATTAACGATAAATAAATAAATTAACGTTTAACATTTAATGATGAAGTTACACTCACCTATCAAGCCGAGGATGGTGTTGATGGCGCCGTAAATACTGAACTCCACTTCGTTCAAGTTGAATTTGCGTATTGCATACAAATAACTCACTTGCGAATCACCTGAAGGGAAAAAATCACAAAGTGTATATGACGAACGAACGAGTTTCTTTGTTATCACGTTCGAGTATTGTCTATGCGGTCATTAACTTCAATAGCAAGTACAAAGAGTGATTGACTTAAAGGCTATATACATCTGATATTAGTTAAACAAAATTAATAAGAGATCCTATCTTCTTGCTTTCTCCGTGAATGGATCAATTGAGATATATTTATTAAAAATACAAAATATTTTAGTGTGACATAAAAAGTGTATATAGTAGACCGTAAATTCTAAATAAGTAGATATTAAAGATTCCAGCATAAGAGTTTAAAGAATTCATTAATATTTGAGAGAAATGCTCCTTTGGGTGCCGTTTACACACTCGGTGGCAATTAAATAAGTAAACAAATGTTTTGCCCTTCGGCCGGTGAGTACTTTTAACATTGGAACCAGTTTTTTGGATTTTGACATTCCTTCTTTGGTTGTTTGTCGAAGATCTACTTGCTTGTCTCTTTTTAAGTTTACATCGTAAAATTTCGTGACATGTTCGACGCATTACAAACAGGACTTGGAATTGATTTTAATGCACTTGAAATTAGTATTAAATGATGGCACGTCTGTGTTCAGTACGCGCATAACTATTTTAAAAACAGCGGACCTAAAGCATCTACGGAGGCCGCATACTAAAGTAGTATGCAATAAGCTAATTACTTAACTACTAGTCACAAACAAGTCTATCTACATCGATAAAAGTACTATAAGTGTTACTACTTAATTACAAATATAAATATGTATATTGATCGAAATTGTTTATAATTTCATTTAAAACACCAAGAGCGATATGTTAATGCCTTAGTATCATTATTATTTTTTTGTTCAATATGTTCACATATTGATGAAATGAAACATAAATTAAAAAGAAAAAACAATATATGATAACTTATGTTAAAATTGATAAAAGATATGGAGTAAACAAAAACAGTATCGTATTCTCCATAAAAGATAACGGGACCCAGAACAGATCCTTGCGGAGTCATTTTGTATACCTCGTAAATTTCAATTAAAAGGTTTCGGCAAAAACGCTTACGGTGTTTAATAATTACCATTCAAATGTCTCCCGCTTTAACAATAAAATAAACCGAATTTGTTGTAGATAGCTAAGTGACTATAGAACCGCATTCACAGACAAACGCTGTTAACGTTTGCTTAATCATTGATTACGACATCTAAATATGACGATATTATGTTCCTTTTTAACTAAATTTACCTGTATCATAGTTGCTTAGCCAAATTTAAGAACATTTTCTGACTGAGTGGCTAAGCAATAAATTTTAATGATCCTAAAACGTTACCTTTTCGGTGTCATAAAAATGCCCCCTCAGTTCATTACCCGCAATTAACTAAAGTTTTTATTTAACATCATATATCGTAACTCAATAAAACTTGACAACATTTCCTTCGTTAAATATTTAAATTTTACCATTTCTTTTTACTTTTGAAATTAAATTATCTGACCGAATCCATTACTATTTTTGATAAAATAAGGCGTCTTTAATAAAATTCATTTCTTATCGAGACTATTAAGGAACGAACTATATTTAAACATATCTAATGACAACTAAATATTAAACCTTTTAAATCTGTTACGGTATTAATATCATTGTTCTGAATTCTTAAGAATATCGTTAAATTATCATTAAGATAAGCAAGAAGGAAAATAACAAGAAAATATTAAACACAATCCTTTGTTATTATTTTAAACAATATTTACCTATGTACAACTTAATATCTTTTAAGTACTTACCATAAAGAGGTCCCACCATTAGAATGTACAACAGAATTACTGAAATGATTTGCATTCTCAAACCGAAAGCTCGAGGCCTTAAGGCAACCATTACGGTTTCCGCCACAAGCTTGAACACTTCTTTAATTTTTCTGTTAAATCTATTACTGCCAATTGATTCACCGATGGCCTCACACTTTTCTTCTGGTGGCAAAACATCTTCAAGTCTAAACAAACCGTAAACGAAAGAGAACGTATGGAGCAATAGCAGCAGGGAAAACATGCCGTAGTATCCTAACATTCTAAGCAAGATTCCACTTAGCGCGGTTCCTGTGGGGGTGCCCAAGCTTACGCAGATCGTAACCATGCCTAAACGGAAAGTCCTGTTCTCAACCGTTGTTCTGTCGGACATGAAACTGTACATGCCCATGAAGATTATTATGTAGCTGCCGGTAAAAGCAGCCGGCAACGCTTCGATCAGCGCAGTTGCTGTCAACGACAGTTCCTTGAAATAGTATGTGGCAAATAAGAGGCCGATATTGGCGACAATCTCGCCCGTGAACGGGAACAGTATGAAAATCTTTCGCTTCTTGGTTTTGTCACTCCACGCCCCAATAAAAAGCACCATCAAGGCCGGTATCGCCGTCTGGAGAGGAAACTTCCAGGCGACAACATTCGCCACTAGGCTCTGCACGTCATTCACTTCCTTTTCAAGGCCAGTCGTGTTTCGATCCCGGATTCTGTCGCATATGTCGTCGCTGTACTGAAAATTTACTCTGCACGATTTCTCTAAGTGCATGTTCTGTACCGCCAGCGATGATAAAGCTGTGCACAACATGAAAGTAAACAAACAAGGCTCGACCGTGGTCTCGCGTACGCAACACTTGATGCCCTTCAACGCGCGCTTCGATTTTTCTCGCCATGTCCTCTTTTCCCCGTCGTCGGTAAGGTGGGCGTTCGACTTCGTGAAATCACCGGTGCTGTTGATGTTTTCAGTGCTCGCACTCATGTTATGGCGCTGCGACAAAAGTGAGAGTCAGTAAAAGTGTTTCACGGTTTAATATTTAAACCGCGCGCGGCACCGCTTCACGACCGCCGCCGGCGCTGGATTGTGACTGTTACACGCTTAATCCGTGGATCTCCAAGTGTCGCTTCCAAAAACCAGAGATGTAAATGTCGGGTTGTAAAATGCAGCGCGATATGGTAGCGCTGTCGCACGCGCGCATCTCGCCCGCTATAACAGAAGTCTCACTACAACTGGCAACGCGACTTTTAATTAATAGGATCGCTCCAACTGAACACCCTGGGCTGAGCGCAATTCACACCCTTCCCCGTCTGCAATCGCACTAAGCGAATAAATAATTGAAACAACTGTACAATTTGATATCGTGACAACTACTGTTCAAATAACTTTTTATTATCAGTAAGGTTAACGTTCGTCACGCACAGTTTTCTTTAATACTAGTAACAGTGCAGCATTTAAAGTATTTAAAGTGTTTAAGGTAATCAGTCCATCGAAACAGGCAGTGACGTAAGATAATAAGGTTATTGACCCGCATTTTATTCTGGTCTCCTGCGGAAGATGAGGTCTACTAGTTTACTTTCTCAAACAAAATATTCGGTCAGCTTGTGTGTTCTTGGAATTGTTGCTATTGAGTTCAAGGTATAGTTAAGGTTGATACACCTTATTAACATCATTTAAGAATATTGTTAACAGCCTCGTTCAAAGATACGCAATGTGTACGTATTACTTTTTTTATAATTGTCTATAATATGATAATCAAATAAATATGATATGTTTAGTTTTAAACATTCCTATTAAAAGTACATATTTATTTTCGATCATTTTCTTTTAAAATTTTTCGTATTCAAGGAGGCTGTGTAAGTATTTAGAGAGGAACCAAAAGGTCAGTCTATATACGGCACTCGTCAATCTGGTTTAGACTATGTTAATTATATAATGAATAAAATATCTACACTAATATGTCGAGTTGTTTAGAAATATAATTATTTTAAAAGGATCTATCGTAATAGTTTTGGGTCGTGGAAAATTAACTAATTAAACTGAAAGCAGTAATTTTGTTTATTTTATTTTATTAATTAAAACCGCTCTATATAGCACAAATTAATTTGAAAAGTGTACTTGAAAAACTAATTTAACTTTTCATTTACTCTTTAACGCCTTTACAAAAATAAATGCAACTAAAACCACGGAGGTACACCGCTTCTTTCTGTATAAGTTGAGAATTTCAACAGGAGTTTGTTTAAAAACGCACTCAAATTATACAGAAATTAGTAGTAAAGTAAAGTATCTTTAAAGTAGACTACATAGAATTCAGTTTCTTATACGACATGTATATCGTTTGAAGCTTTTAGTCGCATTCTGTGTCATTGTTGCGTTCGCCACATAAGAAATAAACAACACCATTTACCACCAATGTTATCTGTTCCTTTACAAATGATTTTATATCCACAAAACGACGGTAGAATCATTCTACTTTGGTAGATACTTTATTAAAAGGTGGCAACGCATCTGTAACCATACGTAGGGTCAAATTTCCACGGGTGGCAGTTATCACTTAACATGAGGTGAACCACCAGCTCGCTTGACACCTTCTCACATATAAGAAGGGACCACGCGACAGAATTATCTTTTGAACTAATCACACAAGACCGAACACTGTTGCTTTGTTTTTGGATCTTTTTTGATAATTTATTCATTAATGCTCAAAATTCCGCAATCTTGCCGCTTCGTTTAAAGTCGGACCTCATCTTGACTTCTGGATGTCGGTGACGGTAGTCAAAGGCGGTTTGTAAAATTTCAAATAATAAAGAATCTGCAAAAACTGCTGAATATCGTTAAAGCCTTTCGTTTGAATATTTTCATATACGCAGACCTATTATTCAACGAAGCACAATATTATGATGTAGTTCTTATTGAACTTTGATCCATTACTTGGGAGCAAAGCTCTAGTTTGGGATACTACTTAGATAAGACTCAATAGTGGCCTGCTATCTATGGGGTACTTCAATAATAGCCGAGCTTTGATGAATGGTCTTGACTTTATTATCAATTTTTTATTATATTCCAACAAAAAATTAAGAGTTAGGAATACGCTTCGCGCTAAAGATGAATGATAAATCACCTTATACACCTTTTATTACACTAGTACACCTACTAGCGGTACTTTCTCTGGTGTAAATTTACACTGTTAAATAATCTGATCGCTGATAATATGACGGATAGAAGAAGACCAAATATTCAAAGCACCGACAGTCACTAACGTACACAGGAGCAACAACATCAGCGGTAAACCTGGCCAAAGGCCTTTCAGATGAAAATGTGCCACAAGCTACCCCACCCAGGGCATTGACTCTCGCAAGGAATCAAAGTCGAAACTTCGGTTCTCTTACCATAGTGATGGAAAATACCATAGTGCTCTAAATCTTTGTCTCACAGATGTCGTTGGTAAGAGAATTATTGTGGAACAAATGCCAGCAAGAAAGACCATGGGGACTATATATATTGGCACCACAACTAGATCCTAGATGTATATGTATTATCTAGAGCTTATACGAGTATTCAGTGCCACTTTTGCATAGTAACATGTAAACATAGGAATTTGTGGCGCCCGCATCTTCCGTTCTTTATGATAATACAATACGGTATACAGAGTTTTGCAATACTAAGGCACGGCATTTTTTCACGTGCTGGAGCCGCACAGTAGCTTATTGCATAAGTAATGCCACGCTCGTAACGTATATCGTAATAACCTGAATTCAATATATGACGGGCTGCTACCACCATTCGTGTTCTCATAATGCAAAAATGAGATCCAAGGACACCAATAATATAGAACAACAAGATACTCTAAGTGCCTTCTGCTAAGCTTCAAAAAACTGACGTCAGGCTGTCTTGTGAATGAGGAATTTTTGGAACGAAGTTCCTTACGGCAGGCTTGGAGGGGATAGGGATTTTGCTGCGCGACCGAACTGAAAAAAATGTGATAGTAAAAGCGTAAGAAAAAATCCGTGGAATAAAACCGTTAAATGAGACGTGCGCAGGCGCGACAGTCGCACAATTTTATGTTGTCAAACAAAAATAAAGAGACATATTTTGTTATTGTAACGAAGTTTTGGACCGAAGTTCCTTACGGCAGGCTTGGAGGGGATAGGGATTTTGCTGCGCGACCGAACTGAAAAAAATGTGATAGTAAAACCGTACGAAAAAGTGCGTGGAATTATATTGTTTGCATCTCTGGACTGCAACATTCTACTTCTTCCTTGGACTGCCTTCTTCTCAAGACCGCATCTTACTATTAAATACGACGGTGACCTTCTGCACCTAATCTTTAATTCTTGTCGCTTAATTTCACCCTTGTACATTGTCACATAATTCCAGATACGATAGCTCCATACTTTAAAGGTATCAGTACACCGACGTACACAACTTTCAGCATCATACGATCACTTTGAGGAGTCAGATGTCGCCAACTACATTTCGGGACAGGTCGCGCTTAGAGATATCCAAAAAGCGAATCCAAACTTAATGGCTCTGCAAATTCTCAGGTTTTGCTATTGTCCATGGGTGTCCATCACTTGATATCAAGTAAACGGCTATCGTCTGCCACCATGAAAAAAAATCGGTAAAAAAGCTGCCGCTTCATCCACTGCACATTAATTGCTTTCAACTTGATCGTGAAAAAATAAATACCTTAGTGTTATGAATCCTATATTCGATCATATGGTCGTAGTGTATAGTAAAACTGTCTCCAGCACCAGAGTATCAGGTACTATTCTCACTATTGGAAAAATATTATGTTATGAACAAAGTGTTTTCCTAGTGTCTGGGTGTTATTATGTCTATATTATCCATTTATTTACATAAGAAAAAATGTGTTAGTACGTTTACCAGTAACCTAATACCCAGTAGTACAATTTTTACTTAGTTTAGACTAAATAAGTTTGTGCAAAAACACGTATTCAAATATTTATTTATTATTTTATTATTTAGATAAAGTAATTATAAACTTTATGTACGAACCATCTATTAGACATTGGTCTTTTCGGCAGATGGCGTAGCTTAGTTTAAACTATGGCTTCAATTCAACATATTATATTAAAAAATTACTAATTTCGAATAAATTTACATTCTTTGAATATGATAACAAATGGCACTAAGTACTTCAGAGATTCCATTTTGAAATAGATGCACCTACGATCGTTCATATGAAGATTACGCTTTTTTATTTACCCGTAAAACTTCGTTTTGATATTACTTCTCGTTATTACAAATATTCATTTCATTCAATATTGTTGTGAATTAATTAATTTGTGATTTCCTAGGCTTAACCTACATTTACATAACTAATTAAAATATATCATTACATAATGAGACAAAATATATTACACAATGAAACTCACTGGTGATCTGTACTAAATTCCAAATCCTTGAAAATTTGCATGTTACTTCAATTGACCGCCCTGTTAGAAACCGTCAAAACGGAAATAAATCGAAATGAGGTTCAACAACTTTGATGGACTTTTTGATTTAACTTATTGACCTTCTGTTCATGTTCTCTTACGATAAAGTTACATTGGTAGAAATAAAAAAATGAGATTAAGCCAAATTAAAGGACAGATTGAAGTTATCATCAATATTTCTCTGTATATATTATAGTTAACAACAAATAACATACAAGTACATACATATACCTACCGAATTTAAAACTTTTCGTGTGGCATAACATGGCCTGTGTAATAAAATTAACAAATATAATTAGCGTCTAACATATTGGTAGATAATTAATATATTAATATGTCACGTATTAATGTAACATATGTCATATTGGCAATAGATGTTTGTTATATTGTTACTTAAGTAATGTATTACAGCCTAAGTCTGAAGTCGTGAATTGAAATCCCAGTGGCAAATGCACAAGTTATGTGACACGTCCGGTTTAAGGAAACAGACGTATCACCAGTTTGGGCTAAACATTGATACTGTTAGTCTATCTTTTCTATGGGACTTTGGAGTACATTCAGGTAAATTTAATCATTATTTCCATAAGCTATGCAAACTATTAGCTTTCGACAGAATCTTGACAGAAAATATGATTTTCAAATTAGGCTACCAATCGAAGCTGTCATAGTTAGACTTCGTGACATCTATGGTTCAAAGAACTGAAACCGGATTAGCATGGGCGTGCTCTTCTTTTGCGTCTGGGTTTTGCACTCGATCACGTGCTTCCCGTCTTTGTATAAAGTAGAGGAATCTGGAAAAGAAACATCATTATATACATATATAGTCTTTTTTTTTTATGTGAAAAGTTGCCAAACGAGCAGACGGTTCACCTGATGGTAAGTGAATACCGCCGCCCGTGGACATCTGCTACACCCGAGGGTTACAGATGCGTTGACAACCTTTTAAAAATTGGGCTCCGGCTACCCCACTTACCAGACGAAACACGAAAGTATTTGTCATACTTCCACTTTACGCTGGTCTTCTGTGAGGTCGTGGTACTTACCCGGACGGGCCTGCCCATTCGTGCAACAGCCGAGGCTGCTGCGTGGCCCTACCACCGTTAATTGAGTTAAAAGTCTGATTTAAGAGTTCGTTTAATCGGAGGTTTTTGCTCTCAATGTTAAGGGAAATTGTACTTTTTGCACGGGCATGTTTAGCAGCTACGCTTAATGTAACGCATGAAGACATAGAAAATAGCTTCTATGAGCTTGGCAGTACATTCCCAAACACAGTTACGTGTGGACACACGGTATGTGGACCCTAAAACGTAGTAGCACCAGTGTTCCTTAGATACAACATTGCACCGGTTGCAATATTTATTACCTTTCTACCTAATGAAGTTTCTTTGGACTGTGTGACTATATTATCTAGAATTTGTATCTTAATTTGAAGATCAAGTAATCCTCGTATAATTCCTCGAAGAATTCATGATGTAATTAGGTTGGCGTGGAACGAACACGGTTTTATTTTTTAAATTATTTTAATACGAAATTACGTATTGGGGTAAAACAATTTGTTGGCTATTAATGCCGCTGCCGCAGGTGCAGAACCTTACGGCTTGACGGGTGTCCTAGCATACCGGGAGACGACGCTAAGAAGGCCGTAGTTGCGAAATCACGGAAGATTGTGTTTAAGTGTTTAAGATCGTGCACGGGAGAGCCCTGCGGATCTTCCATCCCGGGTTCGGGAAATAGATAAACGATTTTTCCCCGTTTAACAAAAAGGCCAAGCATTTCCTATGCTTTAACTTCGCCCTGTTCGTAAATGAAGACAAAGTAAAGAATATTATGTTACGATACATAAGTAGCTATTCTTAATATCCTTGCGACATGTTTTTTCTATACTTTTAAAATCACACTAATAACTTTAACAATTAATTAAATGTCAAGTTGTGCTTGCCATCCGTTTTTGGTATAATAAGCTCTGCAGGTTTTAGTTTCATAAATTATCTTTATAGGTACACTGTTTAATTCGAGATACCTGATGAGTTCATTTATTAATAAAACATATTAAAACTTCAACGTAGTTCGGAAATATAATTGAGGAACATCGATGACCTTCAAAGAATAAATGAACGAGAGACCACCATATCCGTGTTCTATAGTATAACGGTATTGACATTCAACTGACAAACGATAATTTTTATTATTTTATATATATATATATATATATAGCTATTCAGGTTCTATTATAACTTTATTTTAACATAATTTAATAATAAATATTTCAGTATTTACGGAACTTTCTAATATGGTTTTGCGTGTATAAATTCTCTAAGTGTTAATTGATATAATTATTTAGAGGTTAAATTGTTAAAAATTGAATTTTAGATTTCGATGTTAATAAATGTGTCTATTTAACACAAAAAGTTATCCGAAGGTGTGTTTTCAAATTAATTATTATATAAATAACATTTTAGACTTTTCGTATTTGCCCTGAGATTTATTTAGTTAATTATTAAAGCGAAAATAAATTTGCAGAAACTTACATGAATATGAAAAATGCCGGCATAGTCATAAAGCCTCCGAGCAGATAAAAGGCACCAGAGAACGTGTCAAGGGTCAGCGAATATACTTTACTGTAGAGTGGAGAATAAATCACTGGTATGATAGCCTCAACAAAGCCAATCAATGAGCACATTTTACCTGAAATTGAATAAATACGATATGTACGCGACAGAATCAAATTCATCTTAAATAATAAATAAGAATGGTAAAACGAGAAGATGATAAAACTCCAACAGGTTTGATACATGTAACAATGAAACAACTTCACAGTCTTCATAACGTGATCTCTTGAAATACCCAATGCATATAGCAACTATTATCACGATGTAGATACTGCCACATCATAGCAATATTACAATAATTATAACAAAATTTCTAATTTCATTGTTGTTTAAAGTATTTTTTTTACTTGTAACAAAATATGTGAGTATGTGATTTTAACATAAAAATATTTTATAATAGAGTTTGAACACGAAATGATCCGGTTCCGTAACTATGTAATGTTACGATCCGATTGACCTTGAAGCAATTAAAGATGATTACATCAGATTGATGAAAAAGGTTAATATTTACATGAAGGTGTAGACCAAATGGAAATTGTTTATAAAAATAAAAAAATACATTCAAGACCAAATTCTACGTTCATCGCACGTCTTCCGAGTTTCAACTTTAGGCAATCAGTAGGAGACTGTAGCCAATTAATTAAGTTTCTTGCCAACATCGCAATAAGTATACTAAATATATACTATACTAAACGAGAACTTTTATCCAGTCTGTAAAAAGGTTTCATTATTTATTATAAGTTGTTTCATTATTCATTAGGTTTCATTATTTATTATTGTAAGCTGATTGCTGGTACATTTCAAGTTGTACAGGAAATGACAAAAATACTGCTTTCAAATTTCTGACTTCAATGTCTTGGTTATTTGACATACCAACTTTATCTTGATCGACGACTTTAGTTCCCAATGACCTGATGGCGGTTGTTCCTGAATTTCCGAATAAATCAAAGGCTGGGCCACTATAGAACCATGACTTTGTAGGTGCCAGCGAGTACACGAAACTCGCAGTAACTTTGCAAGTTGTAGCCAATACACCTATCAATGCGTCGTGTATTTTAAGCCATTTACTAAACACCGTAACAGCTATTGTTGTTCCTGGAACATTTATTACACTTGAAAATATATTTCGCGTATTTTTTTTCATTAATAATAAACGAAAAGAAAATATTTCGTAATAATGCTGTCGAAACTCTTAAAAGGTAAACTTTATATACTTATATGTATTTAAAACATTTATCACTATTTTTAATAAAAATTAATGCGAATAAACGAGACATCTTAAAATGTTACCAGTTTTAGTTACATGATTTGGTTTACAACATAACTAACCTCCTAAGCCCAGTAGAATGGAATACGTAGAAAATAAGCTGAATTCTACCACAGTCATGTTATATTTCTTCAAAGTATATAAAAACATCACCCCGGCTTCACCTGAAATGCACACCAGGAGTTTACATTACTTTCAGATATCAACCCGTTACCATTTATTTAAAATTAGTCAAGATTAGCATGTTTATGATAATCAAGCCATGTATTTTCAAATTTACGGCATTATTTTACTGAATAAGATATAAAACGACTTACCATAAACGGGTCCAGTGATAACAATGTGTGCCCAAATGACAAGAAGGATTTGAATAAGCTGTTTTTTACTGGAAAGAAAAAGAAGTGAAATGGTCTCCCATGCATGTTTGGGATGGAAAAATTGTATTAGTTTGTCCAGAAACGATCCCTCAATGTCTACTCTTTTCACGTCATGAACTCTAAAATAGGTTTGAATAAATGCGAACACATACAGCAATGTTCCTATACCGAAAATGCCGTAGTAGCCGACGGCCTCAGTCAACACTCCACTTATAGAGGAACCTAAAGGGATTCCCAGAGTCACTATGACCGCCACAACACCTATTCGGAATGTCCGAGATTCCACAGTAGTCACATCCGCTATGTAGCTGTACGACCCCATTAAGGCAATTGACAATCCACCAGTGAAAGCGGATGGTAGGGCTTCGATTAACGCCGTCACCCATAATGGCCACTCGAGAAAGAAGTACGTGGTAAGGAGCAAACCAACCGCTGATATCAGTTCGCCCATGATTGGAACGAGCATGAGAGCCTTCCTGTTTCCAGTCCTATCGCTCCAGGCGCCGACGAATAATATTGCAATGGCCGGAATTCCACTCTGCAATGGTTGCTTCCACGCCGTCATGTCGGCCACCAGTTTTTGTGCACCATTTAAAGCTGCAGTCGTAATGTTATCCTCCTGGGCATCGCCGCTGAAGGCTAAAGCGCAAATTTCCTCGGTGAAATTTAAATCAGAACGACACGCCTTCTCCATGTTCAATTTCTGGACGGCCAATGACGATATGATATTCGGCATGATATAACAAAGCAAAAACGGTTCCACTGTAAAGAACTTGAAAATGTTTTTCACTTTCTCCAAATAGGTCAGCCTATGTCCGGATGTCCCTTCACTCTTTTTATTTGCTTCAGATTTATTTGTAACCTCATTCTCATTTCGGCTTCCAGCTTCGGTGAGCTCCAATTCACTAACAGATTTGGTATTCATTTTTAATGTATAATTTTCACATTATATTGCGATGACACTTTCATGAAGTCTGCCTATTTGTAAATACGGTGCGCAACTGGCATGCGGCGATCTCGTATCACCAAACAAACTTGTTTTTTCTCTAAATATAGTACCTACAGTGAAACATGTTCACGTTCTATGCATCCTTGAAGGTGACCACAATATCAAAGGTCGATTGCAGCTCAAAGCTTTTCAACAAAAAGAGGTTCATTACCATAGATACTTTTAATGAAAACATTAGCTTAATATAAAATAAAGTTATTTACATGTTAATAACTTACAAAATAAATATTTAATGCATATATCTATACATATCTATACATACAGATAAATAAAATCGGAGAGTAAAATAACCGCTTTTTACTAAATGCTAATGGACGTATACACGATAAATATACCAAAATAACATTTTTTACAATTTTTGTCTGTCTGTTTGTTCCGGCTAATCTCTGAAACGACTGGACCGATTTGGACGGGACTTTCACTGCAGATAGCCGATCTAATATGGAGTAACTTAGGCTACTTTTATTTTAGATTTTTTTTAATTTTAAATTCCACGCGGACGAAGTCACGGGCACAGCTAGTACTTAATAAAATTACGAAATTTTGTGTATCAACTAATATCGATTAATATACATGCTTAATTCAATTTTTCATCTTAACATTTAAATTGAAGGTTCTTTTCCTAAAAAGAATATACTTCTGTAAATTTAACGAAGAGTTACTACTAAAACTTACATCTCGTCAATCAAAATGTTGAATAAAATACGTAGACGAGATACGTAATGTGCCGAAACGAATGTTGATTGGAATGTCGTGGGCGAATAGCATGGACAACATGATAAAACATTTATATGCTGTTGATTTTCTTAACTTATATATTTTTTATTAACTCATAAGCTCACCGCTATAGTAGTTAAAAGCAAGTGTGTGGAGCTGTTTGTTTTAAGTAATGCGTTTTATGAATATCTGGCTTTAAGGAAACCTTGAAAGGACTTTTTTAATCTAATTATCCTAGAGAGCGGGTGTTCTTAGGCACTGGCACTTGACTACGGGTTTATTCACACTTACTCACTGTATTAGAAGTTGCATGAATGTAGGATGTAATTGTAAAAGGGCGGCAAAACTTCACAAAGTAGACAGATTCATACACATTCATAGGCAGTTATGCTGCTATCGCGTATGAGTTAGTTAGTCTTAGTTAGTGATACTTAGTCTTTAGTTTTTTTAAAATGAATGGAGCTTTAATGGATGGATGAATGAATGAATGAGGAACTTTAGTTGCTTTAAAATGAATGGAGATTGACTGTATGAGGTTTATTGTACTTTAACAACATAGTATAAAGCAAAGTAGTCCTGCTGTCTGTCTGTCCCTATCTTTAAACCTACGCAACGGATCTTGATGCTGTTTTTCTTACTAAATAGAGTGATTCAAAAGGAAAGTTTGTATGAATAATATATTGCATCCGTGCGAATCCGGTGCGGGTCGCTAGTTAAGTTATAAAACGATATGTTATAGTGGACGTCATTGTTATTGCAGCCTCCTTTAGTCCACTGCTGATTCGTTCAGGCACACCATAGACTCCCACGAAGTACGATCCTGAGCCACCTGTATCCACCGACTTCTCGCACTTTCACATTCGCGCAGGTCGTCACTTCGTTTCATGGAAGGTCGTCCTACACTGCCACGGCCGGTACGAGGCTGCCACTGAAAAACCTATCTTCCCCACTGACTTTGACTTTGACCCGCGTCCGAGGGCGGTTCTCACCGCCCCCAGCCACCGATTAGCTAAAACACAGTTGACGGCCATCGGGGTCCCGGTCTGAACCGCAACCTCGATGGCCCTTAGATGACATACCATAGTTCAACGCACGCATGAGCACATGCGCGGCCCTACCCACAGAGGAGGGCCCAAACCCGTGGGTTCTGGCTAGCCCACCGGTTCTGCGTCAGATGAAGCTTTAATAGTCTCGGGACTGAAAGCAAAAACATCAGTTAATTCAAGATGCAAGATACAAGAATAAATAGGATACGAACAGCTTACTTACGATATTCGTGTGAAATCCATCGATCATGCTTAATTGATTCCATTATTCTCATGTTGAATATAAATGTAATTACGAAGGCTACCTTAATTGCAACTATTGTATTTACGCACTACCATTATTATATATCGTTAACTATATAAAAATCAAGAACGCATGTTAAAAATTACAGCTATATCAAATGCGCTTATACCTAATAGGCCTGTGTATTTTTATCGATTTATATATAATTACCCATGGATACAATTGTACTTCTAAGTGTTAAATTGTTAATGAAGCAGTTTATAACAAGCTTTGATTTCTGTAGCATTAAAAATGAACTAAATAGTAGGGAGTGTAAGTAACATAAAGAATATTGTTTAAGGGTCTATCTCAGTGGCTAGTAGCCAAGATTTGGGAATAAAGCTCGCATATTCTTTTCGCAATTTGGGCCGACTCCGCTCTAGATGGAGCGATGACATGTGCAAGTATGCGGGAAATCGATGGATGCAGGTTGTTCAGGATCGTGCTTCTAGGTAGTCTGAGGAGAAAGCCTGTGTTCAGCAGCAGACTCAAACAGGCTAAAAATAATGAAGATGACGATGACGATTCTTTTACATTTCTTAGGTGCAAAAATCACTTCATTCCAATGCCGGATTGGCCATGTAGCACCCTGCGAATAGAGAGAACCCGCGCCTTTGTACAAAACAAAATAGCGAGTAGGATTTGTCTAAACAATCCAACAACATAGTAGTTAAAAATTCGCGATGTTCATATCGATGTTTTAAGTACCATAAGTTTTAAGTACAATGCCACGACACTAACAGGAAATTTCCCTTATAACGCCTTTGAGCTATTTATATAATCTCACTCTGAAGGATACTTTCTTAGTTTTTCCTCCGTTTGACTTTCAGTTTCCTTTTTTACATGTACAAAAGGTTTTATACAATGTAAGTCTTAATTTTTTTTTAAATAAAAAGGCTTGTTCAGTCATAATATTTAAAAAACTTACTTAAAAAAATGTTAATGAAGGCGTTTACAGGAAAAATACGATATCACTCAAACATACTACGTTTATTTATTGAAATAAGTGGGTCACACCGAAAGTTCTCAGTAAACCATAAAATGGCTCAATGCAGAAAGTAGCCAATACTTTTGTTGTTGTTCGAAGCAATCTCCGTTCTTCTCTATACATCTTCGCATTCGATGGAATTACTGAGAAAAGCACTCTCTTTCTCTCTCTCTCTCTCTCTCTTGCCTAATTTCGTGATTCTAGGTCAACCGGAACTACCATATAGGTTTTCGACACAAAACTTATAGTTTTGTTGAAAGCAAGGCCTTACAGCACAAGTAAAGAAGAAAATTGGAAAATTAAAAAAAAGTTGAAAATTAAGGTAAAGTTTGGTACTTACAAGTTTTCGCGAAAATCTAAATTTGACCATATCTTTTTATCGTGTTGACTCAGGACTTGTTTTTAAACACCCAATAGGGACCTCAGGATGTGGTGTAAATTTCACCTTGCTAGGTCAACACGTTCCTGAGAAAATCGGTGGTGATTAATTTACCAATTTTATTTTTACTGTATTTTTAAAGAGAAAGCGAGCAGGACGCTCACATGATGGTAGGTGGCTACCGAGGCCCGTGAATACCTGCAACACCCGAGGGCTTACAAATGCTATGCCGGCCTACTAGGAAAGAGTATGCGCTCTTCTTGAAGGTTCCCAGGTCGGTATAACTGGTAGGCACGGAACCCTTGGTCGAGTACGACTCGCACTTGACCGGTTTTTGTATTAGAGGTTAGCGGCGTAATAGTGCTGGGTCGATCATCTTTTCTCGAATTTTAAAAGCAATCAGCAAATGATGAATTAGCAAAATTAAAACATTATTTTACTTCTGTCACCTTCAAAGAAGATGGATGACAAGGAAAAACTAAGCTTTCGAAACAAAAACTACAATTGGCTTGATTTAGGGATCCTGTTGATAAACTAAACACCATATGACATACCATTGATAAAAAGAATATTCCACTAATTTATCTGTTGGCTCGTTAATAGATAATAATATTATTGTTAATACACTAAAATATCTAAAGGGATAAATCAATAAGAGAATGCGGAAAGAAATGTTTATTATTGCTCATATCCCAAAACACTATTGAAGTACCTAATAAATTGGTAAGATTAGATTTTCAAAGTACGCATATTAAGACGTCCTTTTTAGCTATTAAATATCTTTGTTTAAAAGTCGGTTAAGTTTAAATTTAAAATACTTATATCAGAAATCGCCAAGTGGTTATGCCGGAGATGAGATGTCAATATCGTTAGTTCGAACCGTGCACTTGCAAACGTTTTAGTGGAAACTTATCACACGTTATATGTCAGTTGTATGGCGAGAAAGTTCACCATTTCTCCTATTAAAGGTACTTACATAGATAAGTTTAAAATAACTAATGTAGTACTAAGCCTGTCTATCATCCCCTCCGAACGGGTTCGCCTTGACCTGGTTAGGGTAGCCGTGGCTTGGTCGCCCACGGTGAAGCTAAGGGGAACCGACAGTGGGCCGACCCGAGAAGGTCACTCCGAGAGGGCTCATTGAGTCCACTCCGGATGTTTGCTGAAGGGTGCATGTTTGCTGAATTTGGGTGAATGTTTGCTGAAGGTCGAGAGTGGTAGAGAAGGGGGCACTCTCCCTGTCTATTGCAACCGAAGAGGAGTCGCGGGGGAAAAGAGAGTCGGTACTGCGATGCGTCGTTCTCCCTACCATCCGCAGCCGAAACGTGGTAAGCAGCAGATCCGCCGCTGGGGGCTGGGAGGCTTGTTACGTAATAGCATTGGCACTCCTGGCTCCCATGGCCTCTGATCAACGAACTCGGGTGAGTAAAAAAGGGTCAGAGTAGGAAGGCGCGCTGAATATTCCAGCGCGCCTTACCTGGAAGAGAGGGGTATTGCTTACAGAGAAGGGGCTGCTGAGATGGCCAACGCTGGCAAGGTCGCGGAAGTGTGCGAAAGCGTTCCCGTGGCCATGCCGATATGCACCTAGGTTGAACATGGTGGGGGTTTTAGTCGGTGCGAGTCCGACATAACCCGCTCTTGCCCCCGCCATAGCGGGTAGGCGTAAGCATTACCCCCACTTTAAAAAAGAGTAATATCTGTCTACCCTGTTAGATATAAAAACGTGGAAGTTTAGTTTACATACTAATTAGACGCACAATATGTGTACGACGACTCTTAACTATAACTATAATTGTATCAAAGTTTATTGTCCGTGGTATATTGCGGACATTTTATTGAAGGCGCTCTATTTTTCTATATCTATTCCAATAAAAATATTAAGTACTCTAACTACAATAAGGTTTAAAATTGGTATAAGAAAAAAATAAAAAAAGTAAAATAGCGAAACTATAAAAATGCAACAGATTTAATATATTTTAAAGATATAAAATAGCTTATATATTTTGTATACAATAAATATATTTATCATTATTGTTTTATGGAGCGTAATTATGTTATAAGCATGCTGACTGTACAATGATATGCTTTGCATGAATTTCCGTAAATGTTCGACAAACCATTTTGTTATAGTTTTTATTAACAATTAAAATTGGTTATGTTAACTATGAAAGTCAACATGCAACAAATTGACCTTAAGCATAATTTCACGTTTTACGATAAAGCTTCTTCCTCAAGTAGCCCTAAATCAAATACGTGGAGTAGGGAGAACATGTGAAGCATATTGTTTACGGTATTGGTTAGGTTTCCTACGACCGGCCGCCTGCCTAGCGTCATCCTTCTTGAGAATAAACACCCAGATCAGGAACAATTATCTGTTTGTCAAGCAAATACTTGTTCCGTTGGGGATCGAATCCACGACCTTTGGCGCCAAATGCAATAGCTTAGCAACTGCGCTACCAATTCGTCGGAAAGTTTTAAGTCAAAGGAAACGTGAGAGCACACCAGAAATTTCATAGCAAATGCAACGTTTATAAACCTTTCTCACTTTGCTCGGTGGAATGATTAAAAATAAACGAAATTGCTATTTTTTAACGACACTTTTCTCAAAAACGACCTATGAGCAGTTTTGTAGACTTGAATTCGTTTTTTTGTGGTACGAAAAGCGCAGTATCTATGGCATTGTATTTGTTTTAGTATTATTACAACAAACTGCATTTTTTTCTTATCCCCAAGTTACGTGTGGTACTAATATTAAATTAATATAAAAAATGAGAATAATTCCCTTTATTTTTCCCCAGAATACACGACGTGATGATATAATGCAGTACTTGTTTTGGATAAAATTATAATTTAGTCGAGAAATTTCCCTGACCACAAATTTAAGTGTTCGCGTAAATATTACAGAATGTATAACTATAATAATAAAATAATAATAATAATAAAATATCTTTATTCACATAGACGCTTGCGCGTTCTTATGAAACGTCAAAATTTTACAAAGAAATTAACACATTCGTAAGTTACCACCGGTTCGGAAAGCAGTTTCTGTTGAGAAGAGACCGGCAAGAAACTCAACAGTTGCTCTTTTTTTTAAACGTATATTACGTATATTACCAACGTATAACTGTCAAGAAAGACCACTCACAAAGGGTCACAAAGAAGCCACCCTTGTATAGCCAGCATAACAGCCTTGCATCCGTCTCGTCTTAGTTCACCTATTCCTGGATGAATTGCCACACTACAATGCAACTCGGCCCATAAATATTTGGGCTTATCATCACTACATAGTATAAAACAAAGTCGTTCCGTTGTCTGTCTGTCCGTATGTATGCTTAGATCTTTACTACTTACTAAGGTTTAAATGTATAATGCGAAGCTAGGACGGGCGCTAGTCTGAGATACTCCATAATTAAAATACGCAAGAAATTCATTATCCGAAATCGCTCAGAACCTGGAATTTTGATATGTACTTGTAGAGTGTGTGTCTTCAATAAAGGTCTATACTTTTTAATTGATTGCCGATCTAATTTATCAAATAACGGTGAATAAAATTAAAAACCTTGATGTATAAAATTACTTTTCGATTATATGCTCCATCGCCGAATGGCTTTTGTCAATGGGATCCAATTCAATTCATTACGCAATTTTTATCTTGACCGACATTTTTGAAAAAAACTAGAACGCATAATGTTATGTACGTGCGATATAAGAAGTTCATTAGATTTTTATTTGCGAGTACCAAAATTGCGATAGACAACAAAGGATAAATAGCGAAGCAAATGACAATTATTTCATTTGTTTCGATATTACAGTGATGACAAATAAGCGCTATTTTGGGTTTATCTACATAATTTTTAGAGGAAAAATACTTTTTTATGTGTAGGTGTTAACTAATTATTAACTATATAATCCTCTGTAGTAGTTGTTATTTCCTTGTATAGCCTTTCTAGGCAGACTTACAGTTTTTTTTACATGATCTAATCGAAAATAGCCGTGTTTTGATTTAAGTTTACCTTAATACCAAAGTGTACTTAGCGTGGCCACGTGATAGTTTGATAAAGTACAAATTAAACTGTACCACCGGCCAGCTGATAGGCAGTGTTCGAGTTGAACTCGCATACAACACCCGCGCCGTGCTTATTTAAGTGACAATACAACGGCGCACGCGCAGACGGACGCTCGCATTGCCCGACTGAATAAAGTGAAAAAAAGAAAGAGTTAAATAAACTAAATACGTAATAGTAAATAAAAAACCGACCCATTTACGCAGATGTCAATCAATAAATGAACTTAAAGGTGGCAATTCTAATGCAAAATGACGTTACGGGTCGAAGTGCCCGGGGAGAAAATCGTGAATGTGGAATCATGCAAGTACAAAAAGGCTTACAGCACGGACGTTGCTAAAAACGAGACGAAGTTCAGCGGCAGACTGAAAGAGTTCATAAAGGGAGCATGGGCGGTCAGAACAAAAGTAACAGTGGAGCCCTATGTTATTTGTTATGTGTTGCCGAGTGTACTCGCGGGGCTAGCTGTGCAAAACTTGTGTCTGGAGAAGGCATGCCTAGTCAACCTGCAATACGACGAGGATACCTGCACACACATAATGCAGGGACGGACTCACAATTACACGGAGCAGGAGAAAAGTGTACAGACGATGGTAGCGGGGATGACGGCTTGGAGCTTCCCCCTGCAGACAGCTCTGCCGGGGTTACTGGCGCTCTTCGTCGGCGCGTGGAGCGACCGAACGGGCAACCGAAAGACGTTCATGGTGTTACCCATAGTGGGGAAGCTAATATCGGTTTTCGGTATCATACTGAGCACTGTGTTCTTCCTCCAAGTTGACCTGAACGAGACAGCACTGATAGAGGGTCTCCCGCCCGCACTAGCAGGGGGCCGCGTCGCTATGACCATGGCGGTCTACAGCTACGTAACAGATATCACAAGTGACTCGGAACGGACTTATCGTTTGGGCATCATTACCGCCATCCTTACTCTGAGCAGGCCCGTCGGACTCGCCCTCAGCGGTATTATGACTAAGCGTTTCGGTTACTACGGTGTATTTACAATCGCGTGCGTTTTCTATCTGTGCGGTTTCGTTTACATCGTCCTGAGGCTGAAGGAGAAGCCGAAGAAGACTATCGACAAGGAGAACATGGAGATGCTATCCATGTTCTCGATACAGGACCTGGGAGCGACAGTGAACGTCGCGTTCAAACGCCGCCAGGGCTCCCGCCGTATGCAAATTATATTGATCATGTTAGCATACATGTTCATCGTCGGACCAGTACTAGGTAAAGTTGCTTCTCATTTGCATACATGTTCATCATCAGACCAGTACTAGGTAAAGTTGCTTCTCATTTCTATATGTCCCAAACGAAGTATATCCTCCCATACAAATATACCTTTTGCAATATTGGAATAGCTTTGTTTCCGACGTTGTATTTTATCAGCAATATTGACGTCGTAAAATGAAATTCGCCACATGTGTTCGTGTGATCGCTTTATTTTATTTTCATTTTATGATCAGATGCAAATTTTTTCTTATACATACCTCATACATTATGAACGCTATTACATAACAGACAAAATCCTGAAAGTCCTGCATTCCATTTAGCTTTTGCATATTATTTATTAAAGGATAAAACTCATTACTCCTTATTTAATGTTGTGACATGATAGTGTCGACTGCCCATAAAATTTGAGTGTTAATATTCTCGTAGATGTGAATATACACATTTACTCACAATGGCATTATTATTCAACACTAGATCTATAATTTTAAGCTCTTGTTCGAGTTGTAACTGGGAGATGCAACTACGAAGAAGGATCTTAACATCCGCAGGAAGTTTTGAAACAAAGTACATACATGTAATAACTCTACCAGTAATCTTCCACTAGTTGCGTTTTCATCACATTGATATTGAATTATATGTTATCTTATTTATGGCTGTATCTTTGCAATATTTAAAATGTCGCGTCCTTATATTTAAATGATCGTATAATTATTAAACAAACGAGTTATGCTAAATAAGGGGCTAAATTGACTTGTTTATAAACAATTGAAATTTTCTAGAACCAGCTTATTTTGTTATTCTAAGTCTTTGTGATTCTTCATCATCCTGTCCTGGGATAAGGATCCCACTTATGTGGGGTTGGTAAAACATGTGAATCATGTTGTAGGTTTTGGCTAGGTTTTTTTGACCAGCAACTCCCTGACGTCAACCTTCATTGGGAACAAACACCTAGGTACAGAAAAAAATATCTTTATGTCACACAAATACTTGTACCGCATGGGAATCGAAGCTACGACCCTCGGCGCCGAAGCCAATACCTTGGAAACTGCGCCACCGAATCTGGTCATTGTGATTATTATGCTTTTTCTTTCAGTAACTCTAAAATCAGTGCTCATTAATATTTCATTATTTATCGATATTTAATTTATCGAAACGTAAAAAGTTTCACTAATGTGATATTTCCCAAAAGTTCACACGTTGCAAATGCTTGGTAGGAGATAGATTGATTCAGATCTCCTTTAAACATTCAGTGTAAATCATTATTGCTATCTATTACGTCAATGGTCCGAGTGAGAAAAAAAAACAATTGAATTAATAAAATTTAGTTGAATATAATATAATCTATCCATAATGCCATAAAGATCACTGATGATGATAATGAGATGGCTCTATATTAAGAAAAATACGTGCGAAGATGACATCACGATGGGAGCTGGCCGTTTACGTTTATTCATCTTATACATTGTCGAATACGCGTAAAATTTAACATACTTTTTCAAAGATTCCTCGTACGATAACTTCCTCCCTACTATTCAATTTATTTATTTATTTATACTTTATTGTACACCAAAAATAAAAATATATAAAAAGCAAATTACAAATGAATATAAAAGGAAGTACAATAGGCGGTCAATCATATGTGTTGATCACTAATGTATTTAATGTAAACTCGATATAGGCAGTATAATAGACTAATTGTTATATCCAATTAATAATTATATCAATTGACATTACTCTATATTGCATTTTATACTTCAACATCGAAACATGTATTTGTACGCCCCTATGAACTTTGTTTGTGCATTAATGAGTCATTTAATACTAACACGTCGAGGAATACGTTTCTCATAACTTGAAATCCAGTCCGTTTTATAGGTTACTATAAAATATGACTGATTTAAAAAAACATATATTAATATGAACCCCTATTAGTGTGACAAAACTAAAGTCGAGAACTAGTAGAATAAGAATTAGAAAAAGCTGATCTTAGACAATTTCTCAAAAATTTCAAATGCCAAAAACCAAGCATTTTACTAGCATAATTGGTTTCTGTAATAGTTATCATAGGTAAATGTCTAAAATGCTATTTATAAATTGTTGGAATATTATTTTTTTTACGGTCACACTTAATATAAAAATGAACTATGTAGGATTAATATACGTTAAGTTACTCAAAATTAGAGGACTTTCTAATTGTTTAAACTTTTGTCTAAACCGTGAATTGTGCAACTAAATTGCCAAACTTGTTTCAGACGAATAGATGCGCCGTATTTTGCAACACCCTTCGTTGTTAATGTAATGCTTATTAAGCTAAAGATAATTCGTTTTAACGAAATTAGCCTTGCGATCTGATTTTGAGTGCGGTCGGTGCTACATTGTTTTAAAGAAATAAGAAAGTGGTATTATTACATAACACGTTGTTTAGTAGATGTGCTGTGTATTGTTTTTCTAAATATTCATTACTGACCGAATATCTATTTTCTGAATAAGTTGTTATTAACAAGAAAATTGCGTTGTTAGAAATGCTGACATTTTAACGGCTGTATTTCAATGGCATAAAGCAACGTTATAAGTGATTACGACTAAAATTGTTATACAAAACATTTCGGACTTCACATATCTTCGAAATATATTTTTTTTGTTATTATTTCGAAAATATGCAGGTTTCCTCACGATGTTTTCGTTCACCGCGGAGCACGTGATAAGTCAGCACTTAAAGTTAAAAACTTCATTGGTGCCGGCACCGGGAACTCAGGTTGCTCGAGTATATTGAATTAAAGGCGAGCGCCCGGACACTGAGCTATAGCTATATATATATATATATATATATATATATATATATATATATATATATATATATATATATATATAAATTAAAACCTGGGTAAATTAAGACCTGTGGTAGGCTTGTTTAACAGTGGAGGTCTTCCGGCTGATGATGATTGAGAGTTTAGTTCACTAACTGTTGATTCACATAATAACTATGTTAAACGGTATGACTTGCCACATTTTACGGGTTTATCACCTATTAAAGCCTCTTCGCGAAACTACCTCAGTGGTTCAGGTGATACCATACGCAAGCACTGGCGGGGCGGCTTCTGTTCTGGTGGGATTCTCAAGTAAAAATTACATCGCGGTGAAGATTAACGCATAACTTAACCTCAACTGCTACCTGCGTTGCAATGATAGATGTTATATGTGTTAGTATACTTCCCAGACTGGGAAAAACATATCAATCGTTCAGGAACCCGTTGTTTATTTACAAAGTTTCCTTTTCTAGTCCTTGTCCACAAACTCTCTGCTTTGCGCTGCTAAATCAAAGTGCCTCTACCTTATATGGCATTTTAAATACCTGGATGTTATGTGCTTAAAAGTAAAAGCACATAACATCCAGGTCCATTTTGTCACTCAAACAACGTATAATTGAAGCGGAAATGAAAACTGAGCTCAAACCTAGGACAACTTCACATACGATGAGCGCTTTTCTACATGGCCAGTGTGTCATCCTAGATAAACGATAGGCGGCCTAGAACAATGATAATTAAAAGGTCGCACGTGATCTATCTGCAGAAGTGAAGCGTTCTTTTCAAAATTCATACACTCTCAAAAATCTTTCCTCACGTAGTTACACGTGACTAGTAATGCATTCGAGAGCTTATCGGTTTTTAATGTGTGACTTTATTAATACAGACTTGAAGCAAATGTAAAAAATCAATTTAAAAATTGGAACGCATTTTTAATCAAACCATATTCCAGAATAAACTTTATGCCTATACGGTTACAGGTCAATTTATATAAGTAACATCTATTGTAGACAATATTTTATTACTATTTTTATTTACTATTACATTGCACTCTTTAATGTTATAAGTTTTCTTTTACGTAAGATAGGTGAAGTAATATTTTATCATTTAAACTTACAATATACAGTAAATCTTCAGCATACCGAAATAAAATCGCTTTGCCGCTTATATTAATAATGAATATTTTAAGGTATCCCATACCGTCACACACTACCGTCCATGGACATTTGCAACCCAGACTCGTTACCAACCTATTAAAACAGCGTATTTCGGTTACCTCACTGACCAGACGAAACGCAAAAGTATAGTACTTCCACGCCAATCTTTATATATATAATTCTTCTGTTCGTGTGTATGTCACTGAACTCCTCCTAAACGGCTGGACCGATTTTAATGAAATTTTTTGTGTGCCTTCAAGTTTATTCGAGAATGGTTTAGATTCACAATTTGGTCCACTCTCGCGTGTACAGGACAACGTCTAACCGCTCCGCTAGTGTAATCGTACTATAAGATTGCGTTACGTCCCCGGACAATTTTCAATTTTCGGAGCCAGAATTGCCGGAGCCCAATTTTCAAAAGGTTGTCAACGCATCGGTAGCCCTCGGGTGTAGCAGATGTCCATGGGCGGCGGTATTCACTTACCATCAGGTTAACCGTCTGCTCGTTTTGCAACTTTTGACATAAAAAAAAAGTCCCCAGTCGTCCAAAAGCTGTTGCGTGGCCTTACAACGATCCTCAGAATTGTATTCCATATCACTACATAGTATAAAACAAAGTCGTTCCGCTGTCCGTCTGTCCCTTTGTATTTAGATCTTTAAAACGCATGTATTTAAACGGATCTTGATGCGGTTTTTTTACTAGACAAAGTGATTCAAGAGGAAGGTTTATATGTGTAATACATTGCACCCGTGCGAAGCCGGGGCGGGTCGCTAGTTATCTATTAATTCTAAAAATAAAAGTAAATGCTAAAAAATTAAAAAATATACTAATTGTATGCATATATATTTACACGTGGAAAGACATGTTCTAATACTATCCTTAGAAAGGCTTTTATCCAGCGTTGTAATATATATACGAATATGTACAGTTCAGCATTTTTTTATTTCATGCATCGAAAATGAGTTTATATTTCTGATTTTCAACGACAATCGCTGTATAATTTAGAACATTATCTCACCATAGTTAACAAGGGCAAATTGAACCAGTTGAAAATTTTAATCGTGGTAAACGTTTTTACACTTCTATCATCAATGCAATTGGCATAATTCTCGACAGAAGCGCGCGCAGGCAAAAACGGTGGCCAATTTTTTTCTTTTTATGAGAAAAGTTGCCAAGCGAGCAGATGGTTCACCTGATGTTAAGTGAATACCGCCACCCATGGACATCTGCTACATCCAAGGGTTGCAGATGCGCTGACAACCTTTTGAAAATTGGGCTCCGGCCACCTCACTCACCAGACAAAACGCGAAAGTATTATACTTCCACTTTACGCCGGTCTTCTGTGAGGTCGATTCCGGACGAGCCTGCCCATTCGTGCAACAGCCGAGGCTGCTGCGTGGCCCTACCACCATAATATTCTTAATAATTGATGGCTTAGGTACTAAGACGCTACATATGACCTGTTGTCATCGGTTCCCATTATTAATCTTTATTGGACGACGTTTATGCCTTCGCCTATGTGAAAAGTTCGACCAAATCTGCGATATATCCATCGTTTCCGAAGGCTGGGGTAACCCAGTGAGGCAGTCTTTTGATTGGCTCACCAACCGTCGCTTTCAAATTAATGAAGCACTGTACACCCTAAAAGATATTTATGAAGTGATATTGTATGTTTGATTGTTTACTTGTCTCCCACTTTTTTCATTCTTCCAAAGCAGTACCTGTTCTATACTGAGATCAATGCGTATTGTGATATAATTTACATTAATCAGAAAATTAACAACAGAAACAGGTAGAAATTTCTTATGTAAATTATAAAATAATCTTCCTGCAAGGCTCTTTCACAAGGTACTTCCTAACGGAATCCGTTTTTAAACATTAAAATATGAATAAACTAGAAGTTACTCCTCGTGTCCAAGCTCATTAGCATGAAAGCTAAGATACGTGTCTATAAGACGGTGATCAGACCTATCTTAATGTATGGCTGTAAAGCTTGGACACTGACGTTAAAGGAAGAGCATCAGCTCTTAGTGGCGGAGCGCAAGATCTTGCGGAAAATTCTGGGACTGGTGAAAGACGAGGATGGGAATTAGAGAATTCGTAAAAATAGGGAAATTGAACATCTTGTGTCCGAACCCAACATTATCGGCGAAACGAAAGCCGCGAGACTGCGTTGGCTCGGCCACTTAGAGAGGATGGGGGAGGATCGTGCAGTCAAGAGAGCATATATGGGGCAACCAAAAGGGAAGCGTCCTGTTGGTCGCCTCAGATATCGCTGGAAAGATGAAGTCCATAAAGATCTGACAGCTCTCCAATCAGTCAATAGGCAAGAAACAGCCCAGAACAGAGAGCAGTGGCGTCTTTTCGTGTCGGAGGCCAAGGTCCTCTTTGGGTCGCTGAGCCAGCCAAGTAAGTAAGTAAGAAGTTATGAACGGCAGTAACTTTCAAGAAGACTTAAAATTGCATTGATTTGAAAACAGCAAGAACATGAAGTCCACTTTTTCGTATGAGAATTATATACAAATTCAACTTTATCCGTATTTTAAATCAATTTATCAGGGCTTCTTATGTATTAAGTTCAAAAGGATTTGTACTTTCGGGTTGTGTTGCGGAGACAAAACTCAATGGTTAACATGCAGTTCACAAGTGTTGGCGCGACTGCATCCCCACCGATGTTATGGATGTATATAAGGGAAGTTAATGAACTAATCTGAATGACTTAGCATTAGGTCACCGGCCAGTTCTGTGCGATTCGTAAAAAAATTTTATAGGCTCTTTAAAAAGTTAAGTTTCATTAGTTGATGCAAGCACTTAATAAGACGTGATGTTTCCTATGCCGGGGAGTAAATTAACCTTTAAACGATTTGATTAGTACATTATGATTTGCTTGCTACTGGTTAAAAGACCTTACCAATATTATTGACAACATGATTCAGGTGCAACCTCACAAAAGTGGGATAAGGGCAGCGGAAAGAAAAAGAGGGTTATGATATTTGCATATATTTATATATATTTATAAGAGAGAATAATAATAATAGTGGCTAATAATTATTATATAAAGCTTGTACCCAGCTATGGCGTTTCTTTATAAGCAAATGTAAAGTAAATCCATATCTAATAAATATACATCTGATAAGACCAGTTAAAAATATCTGTATACGGTAGCGCTTAACTTTTGTAACATCTTCTTTTTCTTCTTCTAAGGCAGTTGGCGGTCCATATGATATCGCCAATGACACAATAATGATAAAGAAACAAATAGTTTTAAATATCTAAGAAATCTTCTGGTTGTTTATTTTTTTTTTCGATTTTATAATGACATGAGAATGATTCTATGAATATTTAATATATATACTTCTACAGATAGAATATATAAACAAATTTACATATATCAATTACCTAGAACAAAGAAAATAAGTTTGTGATTATTATGCTATAAAATTACTTAACATATTAACAAATGGAGAATTTACATATGTTAAAAGGTTTTTTATATTGGATGGACGTGGGATATTAAAAGGAAGATGATCATGGAAGGAACGTGGATTTCCGGGACAGTTCAAAAATATATAATCAGGTGAATCATCATCTAGACCACATTCACAAATGGAACAATCTTTTATTCTTAATTTGGCAAAATGAATATTAGTGCAGATTTAATTATAACTTCGGTCAGTCTAATTGTTTTTCTCGTCACTGTCAGTGATCCCTCTCTCTATAACATGTTCTGATTTGCATTTATTACGGTCAGCTTTAGGCATAATATCACGGTATAGTTAAGAGATCATACGTATATAAATCCATAAGTAACTTCCGGACTTAATAACCAATTTAAATATGTCATTGATACAGTCAGTTCAAGTAGCTTGGTCAGGGCCTTAAATGTAAATTTTTCTGTTATTTAATAAGCCAAATAGATAAGTATAATGCGTCCCAGTTCGCTTATCATAAATCCACATTTTATATCATTAAACCTAAATGTACTCTTAACAGACAATAATGTGTAGTCTTTCGGTGTCGGCGGGAACTAACATTATAGGCCTTAGTTAGTCAAAAACTGGCAAAAAGCCACGTCTATGGTTAGTAACATTTTTCATGTAATTTTAAAATATTGATAGTTTTTCGCTACTTAATTTTCGATATTCGATAAGAGAAAAATAATTTCTAATTATGCAATTTATTAATACATTTCCCAACACTTTTATAATAATATATTGGAAATAAAAATCAAAACAGACACATAATTTATTATATTCTTATCAAAAATTTGTCTTCTTATTATAGCATAGGATATTTATGGCCGCGTTACAATTCAATTCAAAAGTTGCTATTCAAATCAAATCTAAGGCAGCTTTAATCACTGCATTAACTTTACTTACTTTGTTGTATAAGCAACTGCAGATACTAAGTAGAGACAGGCTACTGAGGTAAAGTAGAGCCTATTAAGAGTGATGTTTACAGATTGCCGACGCTAATGGGCTCGGAAGCTTGACTAATAGATGTGTTATTTGGGATAAAGGTGAGGCGCAGATGACATACTGGTTCACACGGTACAAGTTCAAATTCACCGAAGTCGACTACAGCTTGTTCCTCACATACTCCGTCCTTGTGGGCAGCGTTGGTAAGTGGAAATTGTGTTAACCCTAATCCCTAATAATATATATAATATTATAAATGGGAATGTAAGTTTGTTTGTTACGCACGACAAAACTACTGAAACGATTATCATGAAACTTTGTAAACATATTCTTCGAGTTATTAAAAAGGACATAGGATTCTTTTTATTAAAAATATATTTATTTAAGGGCCTACGTGAGCGAAGCCGCGGGCGAAAAGCTAGTACTTTTATAATTCGTTTGCCCCTTCCGTTACAGCTTTATTTGGTAAAATTGACACTTCTTATTTTAAGGGACATGTCAAATGTGTAAAGTTTTATTTTTATTTTATTTTATTGTTATATCTGAAACTACAGCATGAATACAAATTATAACCAACGATTCAGCTGTGACGAGTCTATTTGACATGTTAGTATAATCCCTGCAGGAACAGCATATCTAATAATTCACTCTGTCGTGCAATGGAATTAATTTGTAATATTGACAACAGTCTTTATATGAAACAGCGTTATAGTAAGTTTTAAAATTGAGATACTTAATAAACTGTCTTAATTGAATCGATTCAATAGCGTTTATGTAAGTAGCGTATTGCGGAGACCAGACAAGAGGCATATTCTAGAGTACTTCTAACATACGCAAAGTAAATTCATTTTATACATTCGACATCATCAAAAGGTTTGGCAAATGTAAATAACTTTAACTCTTCCGTAATTCAATTAAAATAAATTTTAAACAATAGAGAAAAATATCTAATGCATTAATCAACAAGCAGAATTTTAGCTCAGTGGCTAGAGCGTCAGGCCGCGAATGCCGAAGACGTGGGTTCGATTCCCACAACGGCGAAAATCTTTTCGCACTTTTTCTACATATTTTAAAATTTGCATGGAAAATCGAAATAGCAATAATTTTATTTTCCCATACAAACTGTTCCTACCTGTCAAAAATTTTATGGGTGCGTTCCGAAAAATCTTTTTCTATGTGTTCAGATTCACAGATTCCCTAGAAATAATTTATATGGCAAAACAACGTTTGCTGGGTCAGCTAGTATGTAATAAATAATACTATAAAATATATATGTTATTATTATTCTATTTAGTATATAAATAATATAAATATCTATAAGTTAGAAGTAAAATTACGCTCGCTCATTATATTTGTAATTGTTGCAAGTATAAATAAGTGGTAGGGCCACGCAGTAGTCTTCGCTGTTGCACGAATGGGCAGGTCCATCCAGGGAAGTACCACGACATTACAGAAGACCGGCGTGAAGTGGACGAATATTATACTTCTGCCTTTCGTTTGCTGAGGGAGGTAACCGGGGCCCAATTTATTAAAAGGTGGCAACCCATTTGTAACCCTACGGGTGTTGCAAATATACATGGGCCGAGGTTACCACTTAAAATCAGATGAACCGCCAACTGGCTTGTTATCTTCTTACATATAAAAATTCAACATTCCCATTTTCAATTTCAATTTTTCTATTTATCCACAGTCATGACACTTCTGTTTTCTTATTTAAATAAAAATATCGATACTTCCACATACTTTACAAAAAATTCTATAGAAACTCTTTAAATACCAATTTAAATATTACTTGAGAGCAAACACAAAATTAGCACAAAATTTAGTTAATCCAATAATACATAATTACTCAAATCTCAATATTAGTTTTTTATGCTTTACTTTTCCTTTCAAATATTTTAAGACAAGATCTTACCTAAGAGTACTTATTATATTTTCCGTTATTCATTGCTGTCACTAATTCTAGAGAAAATGTTTAGTCACTTCCTGCAATATTTTAATTTTTGAAATGTAACGAAACACTGTAAGCGTTGTTTTAAATTTGCTTCGCTGTACAAAGTCATCGAACCGTGATTTGTAGTTGCAAGTTATTGCTCACGCTTTATGTCTTATGTTATTACGTTAACTTAATATAAGATTGGAACAAAATAAAGACAAAAATAAATTAAACTCTGTGCAATATTCTTGAAGATATAGGTAATTATAACAATAGATCAACAATAACTTCAGTTGAAAACTGAAAGAACACGTTTCACCTTACAGAAAACAATATTTTTCTCTAGCAGTCTTACAAGCTATAGAAGAAAACAATTTACTACGAGCTGCTGACCCTGGAGAGAATGCTTGGTCTCTATATTCTAATGTCATTGGTCCATTGTCCGCGTGCTTTGAAATCATTTGGATATCTGGAAGAGACTGACAATTAAAACCGTCTGTACATACACACATGGCATCGAAGCTTTCATTACGTGCCGTTTTTAAATCTTACGCCAGTTTTTTTTGGTATCCCGCACCATCAGTACTGTATTTCCAACCACTTTACATTTTAAAGTTTGACTTGCTTTTTTTAAATTAATCCATTAGTATTGATTCATAACAGCTGACCCCTTTGAATTAAAAAACTGAAATTGAAAACGGCGACAAAAAATGTACCATTGTTCATTCTTATTGTTCCGAGATGAAAAAGTGCCGTTTCTTTAGCAGTATCTATTATTTTTAGATGATGAACAACTTTATGATAAATTATTATATCTGGATACACTTTTTTCACTTTGTTTTTTATATAAACACAAATTTTCATAAATCACCAACTTAAAACCTATGCAGGTACATAATAACTACGTAAAAGAAGCAAGGGTTCTCAAGACAATTCAAGTACATTCAAACAAAACCCGAGTTACAATTTCTGTACCTACTGTAAAAATGCAAAATCAAATAGAGTGACATTAGTGACTGAATGTGCAATGAGAAAAACCAAATTTTAATAACTGCGCCGTCTTAATTCATAGGTAATACATACATATCTAAGACACTTAAAAATGTAATTTTACCTCAAGGCAGAGTCACGAATCTCCATTTCGTAATTTGGCTCATAGTAATGATACAAAAATTTCCTTAGATTTGTTTACGTTATGATACAGCATTCTCATTAATAATCGACATTATATCCGTTGTGAATGATAAAATCGTCACAGCAACAGCGGCGTGAAGAGGTGCTAATACAAACAATAACAAATACATGAGACATCAACTGATTATACACATAATACAAATTATTTGTACACTAAATATTTATGACAGCGTGCGAATGTTTATAACTGTGGACCTTTCATAATGTGTGGAAAAGATAATACCGTACAAGATAATTTTAAATTACCATTTATGTTGGTTTACTTTTTATAGAACTCATATTATCAAACATGTACATAAATAAAAACTTTGCAAATAAACATGTAGATTTTTTTTATTTCATTAAAATTAGAATAATCAGCTTCTCTTAATTAACAGCAGACGTAAGACTTAAATATTTTATCTTATCTTATCCGGAAGCATTCTTTGTAAGCGCTAACAATAAGGAGATGGATATAGTTTTATCAACTACCTAAAATAGTTAGGCTAGGTTAGTTATAATGCATCAATTGTGTATTCACACATTATTTTAACTGTATAAAAATCATTTAACTACTTTTAGTATTGAAAGACAAACACAGTTTTCAATTTAACCGCTTTTCACAGCACTTGTGGAATTTTTAAGAAAAGCGGTGCGTCGTCTCCTGGGTGGTAAAGCCTAGCGTTTAAATCGAAGGCTTTTGTACCCTATTGCGGCCTAGTTAAAAAAAGAGGATGTGTTAGACATGTTGTTGGCTGAACCGTTTATGTAATGTTATACCATTAGCTTCGTCTTTATTGCGTGAATGTCACTGGGTACGAGTACAATTCTAAAAAATAATCATGTCTGATTTCTGGCGGCAAAATGTTCTTTTTCGATCATTTTTTTTCTAATTTTCGACTTGTATATCCCACAGGTTCCTTCGTGACATTATACCTGTTCAGCAAAAGGTGGGACATAGAAGACAGCGTCATCGGAGCGTTCGCGTGTCTGAGTAGGATAGCAGCGAGTGTGGTTTACGCAATGGCACCAAACCGTACCGTGTATTTCCTGGGACCGGTCCTGGACATGTTCAGCTCGGCCGGGGCGACTTCTCTTCGATCGATTGCCACGAAATTGGTGGACACTGACGAAGTTGGTGAGTTGTCCGTGACAATTCCGTCAGGGCCGGATTTAGGGGAGGGCAACCGGGGTAACAGCCCTGGGCCTCCACAAATAGAGACTTCGGAAAAAAACATCAAATTCAGACAATAGTAAACAACTTTTCCTATCATATTTTTTTTCGCATTTTACTTTTACCTGCAGTGTTTTGTACAATCATGATTTCATTATATATTAACAGAACTCAATAGAAAATAATTTGGATCCAAGGGTCCTCCACTCCTTTGTTGCCCCGAGGCCTCCAGACCTCTAAATCTGGCCCTGAATTCCGCAACCATTTGAATGCTTGTGATGATACAAGGTATATGACTATGGCCAGAACAAAGATCTATAACAACAATGCAGCTAATGTTAATGGCAATTAAATAACATTTTCAAATCCTAAGCTCTTAATATAAATAGCTTAATAAGGTACAAACCCTTCGTTCCCACACTTTTCAACCGGACTTTCAACTGTAAGATAGACAATGTTTGTACAGTAGTTAATGTATTATGATAAAAAGTAATGAGAATGTTTCTATGATTCACATAACCTTGCACCTGATTATATTTTGTAACGAAACGAACATAAATCAAATATGACCGTACCTAGAAAATTTGCATGCGATCCGTATTGTTTTTTCACCTTATTTCATATATTAATCGCTAGTTTATTGTACCTAACGTAAAGTAAATGTAATACTCATGTGATCTCGCTCCATGCAATAACTCCTTGGAAAAAGATATTAAAACAAATAAAAAAACGTTTATTTTCATAAAATTCCAACGAAAAGAAATAATCCCATTTCAAACGCAAAATGCAGTTCAAATAATTTTATAAAAAGTTTAACGTGGGAAATTATCAACGACAGAGTTCGTTTGCATTCACCGTTATTAAAGTCATACATTTGTACCATTACATATTTATGTTATACACGCAATAAACTTTCCATATTTACATCGAAACAAGTCATTGAGTTTACCACGAAGTTAAATGTTGAATATGTCATTCAATTTGACTTGTAGTTGAACAGTTTAAACTTTGGTGACACAAACAAATATGGAACTTTAACAAGAATGTTCCCAAGCAATCTCCACATACAATTTCACAATCACCGTTCAAATAGGAACGATGACGATTTGATGACATGGTCGCACATAACGGCGTGGTCTATGTATCTTTGTATTTGCAAACACCAAAGTCAATTCTAAAGTTATTTACGCCGTGCTATTTAGTATATAAGAAATAGAAGCCTATTAAAAGAGAAACATAAGCCTTTGCATAAGTGGAATAAAACTGTTTTACAATTATGCTTCTTTTAATTCTTTATTATGTACTTTTATATCAAAACAGATAGCACCGCCTACGATATGACATTAATGTATTCTGAAAATTCCTAATGGCGAATCAAATTAACTTAATGTTAAACGTATTTATTTCAATTCCGTAAACGCATCAACGTATATCATGCAATTATGTTATAGATGGTTTTTCCATTGGACTCTTTAAATCGAATCGATAAAATTGTTTCTAACCACTTACTGTTCATTATGTGATTTTGAGTTCATTCTAGAACATTTAGCGGAATTATTCAAAAATATTTTTATGATAACCGCATGACCCATAACAGAAAAGATACGTAGTTCCCTTTTGTGGTATTCATTCTATAGTATTATAAAGAGAATAATAAAATGAATTTGGATTTAAAAATAAACGGTTCTATAACCTTAATTTCTTCCGTTATATAAATACAACCTTAGCTTGAGGGTCAAAAATAAATATTTTTATCCTGTCGCTTATTTATTTTTCTTTTCTTATACGTTCCCAAGAAACATTGGACACAATTGAACATTATTAGTAATTAGGATTAATTATAGATTAAATCATAGCGCTTTCTTTTAAGCTTTCCCTTCGCATGAAAAAGTACAATATTTTTTGTCCTTTCGTTCATTTGTTTTCCTTTTTCTTTTATGTCCTCAGCAAATAAAAAACAAGTTCAATTATAATTGGAGTAAATTGTAGACCGTGATAATCTTATCAGAAATATATTTATAAGTTATTCGAAGTTTCATTGTTCATCCGTGATTTTCATACCAAATTGATGCCTTTTATCTTATTTCCCTCAGATCTTATTTAAAAACCTTACCATCCCTATCAGCCAGAATGAAATCAAATTATCTATGACTACGACTATGGCGACTTGTTGTACTTTGACCTGAATGCAGATCATCTCAATAAACTTGACTGACTTCTGAATAACTGCATTCGATTCTAATTCTTTTTTTTTTATTCAAAAACTGGCTAGCTCTTGACTGCCATCCCACCTGATGGCAAGTGGCCATGCAGCCGTTGATGGTAAGCGCGCTAGCTCAGTAGAAACCTATTAACTCTTGCCTTGAAGACGCCAACGTTGTATTCGTTTTCAATATTCGCCATTGCCGCTCCCTAAGAGCACTAACCACTCTTTATTATTTTATTTTGTATGATTCTCCTTCTTCTCCTTTTTAATTATCTCCACACTTTAAATATCTTTGTTCAGCCTATCATAAAAATTTTCGCTCGACGCATAGTAGTCGCCTCCAATATCAATCGTTCTGGTCTCATGCACTCATCTTTATTTGCCCAATCTTTTCTTCTGTGGAATGCGCTGACTTTATAAATCAGGACGGCTAAGAGCCTCTTCGCATTTAAAATACTCGCCAAGAGAAGGTAGCTCAAAAACCTGTCTACAATTTCACTGGATTGTTAATCATATAAGTATGTTTATTACACATGTATATATTTATGTATTGTGTATTTAAACATGTTTATTTTACTTGTTGTTCATTTTGAAATATATGGTATCATTATTATTATTGTATATGCCTACTATTGCATTTTACGTAACATTCCTTATGAATTTGATTTTTCAATGATCTCTCTTTTTTAATTTTATAATCAATGAAAAACTTTTCCGATGCCTTAATAAACTAAACTTAAACTTTTCCGATGCCGATAATGCTAATGGCATTAAATCCTAAATCTGTACGTATTTTTTGTGGGTAATGTATATATTAATTAATAAAATACTCTAACCCACGGACCTAATTGATTGAATAAATAATTATCAAATCATCAGTACTAACTCATAATGATTCTTTTATCTATTTGATTGAGAAAACCGTTATGAAATCATCAGAAATAACATATAACGATATTTTTAAATCATGTAATACGTTAAAACTACACTCAGCAATATCAAAGCATAATCTTTATGTTATTTACCATAGTCGGTAATAAACTATTGTGACGACAATATTTTTATCATCTTTTGTTTTAAATTTTCCATGAAAAACTTTGAAGTTTTGCAATGGTTATTTACTACGTAGGAGCACACTCACTTCATTATATACGTGGCCTTAGCAAATTCGAATGCAGAGGCTTATCAAATCAAAACATTTGTTAGGGTCTATTCACAATTAATGATTAGGTTTCTACGCGTATTATTTAACTCACGCGTTAGACCTAAAAGGGTAGGCAGATATTAGGGATTTGCTTTTTTATCATCCATACGCAACATGTGAACCATAAATTTATTTTTTTCAGGTAAAACGAGCTCTCTTATAAGTATATCAGAAGCCCTGGTTCCAGTCATCTATTCACCGGTTTACAGCAAAGTTTATCTTAGCACGTTGTCTACGTTCGCTGGTGCATTTTATCTGATCAGCGCAGCCTTGGCGGTTCCTGCCATAGGGATTTTCTTGTAAGTTCCATTTACTTTACTCTTCTACAAATGTCACAGATTGGACTTGATAAGTTTTCTTACAATTCAGTCCAATTTTAATGCTTAACTCGGACCGGTTTACCCAAAGATGTTATAACGTGTATTTTACCAGCTATTACCAGCACATTTAATAACTATCACACATTTACATCTCATCTATGCATAATGCTGTTGCTTTTTAGCGTTGTTATCTTATTAATTAAAGCTATTTTTTCTACTGCCTACTGTAACACTTACCAGATGTTAAAATTTGTAGAAAAAAGGAACGAAACGTTTTTGGCCGCTGTGGAAATCGAACCCACGTCTTCGGGATTCGCGCCTTGACGCTCTAACCACTAAGCTCGGCTGATTGCCACGCCGGCGAAATTCTCAACGTCCTTTATCTACAGTGCTTTTTAGCTATAAGTTAAAACGGCACAATGCTTTTAGAAATGTAAATAAAAAAAAAATAGTGTTATAATTTTAAATTGAAACGGTTTACTGAAGTTGATGTAACATAATATAACTTCATATATTTTAAAGACTGAAGATTCTTAGCGTCGACCTTTATTAAAAAATAATATCGATAAGTTTATTGTATAATACCTCAACTTTCAACCATTCCAATGTTAGCGGAAAGGTCATTCCAACGTCTTCCCGTTCATTTATGTCGCTGTTAAAAAAAAGGAATCCAGACAGTCTTACATGAAGTCTTTTCTAAGACCGCAATTTTAATATTAAATTGTTGTTCCTTTTTTTTAACCAAAGAAAATTTTACATTCTTGCCTCATTAAGCTTCTTTCACTGAAACGCTCGGGCGTCCTTTGTTCGGCTTTCAACTTAACTGCTTGACAAGATAAAACTCCCCCAAAGAAATAGAATCTGAATTAACAGTGAATGTTTAAATCGAAGATACGATTATAGAGCACGATATCTTGGCCGAATCCGCATACTTTCACGTTTACTATCGTTGCGGTGGTAAACAGTAATAGCATTTCGACACAGACGCAAAAAGAGACCTTGCGGTCAACTCGGGCTTGCCCTTAATTTTGTCAACAGTTAATAATGGCCGATTTCTAATAACAAACGGAAGCCTTGAACCGATATTTTCTATGTTTGTTTATGTAATTACTGCGTGCAGTTGATATGAACGCAGCGTAACGCTCGATTTACGAATATACAATGCATATATTACAAGGTGGATTTATGTGATGAGGCACGGAGAATGCGTAGCACAGTAGTTGAAGCTACAGGGAAACATTTTTATGGCCTATGGTATGGTCTAATTGTATTGCCTCCTATTGCATGAATGGACATTTTTATACCTAACCTAGTAAACCTACGTCTATTTCATGTTAAATATTTAACAGATTATCATTATTAAAAGAACTTAGTGGTCGCCTAGTGGTCGAAATTTGACCATAATTAATTATATATGGTAGTGTGTGTAAAGTTTTATTTATTGATTTAATGTATTCTTTATGCGCAATTTAAAAAAAATATTTTTCTTTAGCATTCTGCACTACTTCTCTATACCTAAATGAAATGACTATCACAATCTTCTGTAGCTGTAAGATAAGAATGTTTATTTTAAAAATCCTACACCTTAGTTATTAATGCGCCTAAAACTTGGGGCATTGGAGATATGTAAGATGAACGGCATTGCACATTCCTATAAATCTATGTCTTGATTGTTAAACACTATACTGGAAAATTCACTATTATTTATTAAATTACATTTAAATACATATAATAAAATAAATATAATATAACTAGTATAAGTATCTACATAATAATAAATACGTGAAGCAAAAACTTTGTACCCCTTTTTACGAAAATTGCGCGTACGGAGGAGTATGAAATTTCCCACACTTATAGTTTATACCAAGCATGAAAATAGATTGCCTTAGTCATTATGAAGGTAACGTAGGTTTCAAGTTAAGAATTTATTAAATTCTACAATTTGAGGTGGCCGGAGCCCAATTTGGAAAGGTTGTCAACGCATCTACAAGCCTCGGGTTTAGCAGATGTCTATGGGCGGCGGTATTCACTTAACATCAGGTGAACCGTCTGCTCGCTTGGTAACTTTTCACATAAAAAAGAATATATTTCGATGTTTCACGTATATCAAAATCAAAATGAAAATAAAATGTATTTATTCAACATAGGAGCATTACACTCACTTATTGATAGTCAAAACACTACCACCGGTTCGGAAAAGAAAGCCATATAAATTGTACATTCAAAGACCTGGAGACCTTAAACAGTTGTATGGAACGGCGAGAAATAAATCACTAATATTTAGGACTAACAATATAATTAACAAAACTTTACGTATCATCACAACCGATATTAGATGACTATAATACTGTTCACGTAACTTAAGCACTTCGGATCCATCGTCGGGGGTCCCGCCAAATAACACTACACATTCAGTTAGTGCATCGACAAACACCAAAGTTCGTCCTCGCCTTCGAGCACGGCGAAACCAACACAACACGTAAACTAGGTACACCCGCGTTCCAGGGCGGTTGTCACCGCCCCCAGGCACTGACTAAACAAGCACAGTCAACGGCCATCGGAGTCACGGTCCTCACCGAACCTCAATGGCCCATAGGCGACATGTCACAACTAACGCACGAGTGAGTACATGCGCGGCCCTACCCACTGAGGAGGGCCTCAAACCCGTGGGTTCTGGCTAGCCCACCGGTTCTGCGTTCGATGAATCTTTAATAGTCTAAGGACTGAAAGCGTAACATCAGTTATACAAAAAAAACTGTTCACATCGTAGTAATTTAAATTTTAAACGATGACAAATATTGACAGTTTAATTTATTTTTACAGATTAGTATATTGTAATGTTAATTACATTTGACATAATTTTTTCGAAATGAGTGGACTTTATCATAAATATTAGCGCGTATAATTTCCTCATGGTAAAAGCTATTTATCAACATGTGTTTACAGATTTTTAGTTTGTTACCTTGTGGTAAAAATACTGAGAGTTTTCTGAGAAATGTTATGATAACGCGCAATAGAGACTGAACCAGTGAATCTACTCTAGAAAACGCCAGAATTTTCATAACTTCCTGATAATGCTGCTCCTAAGGATTACGAAATCAATTGCCAAGTCAATTTTCTTCGTTTGTGGTATCGTATGTCGTACCTATCTATATATTAGATTAAAAACGTTTTGTTTTGGATGAGACGATGATGTATGTCGTGTTTCGTTTTTCGGAGTAGATCCATAGAATCTAAGTCAGGAGGATCACTGACCCGATACGATGTATCACATAAATTTGTTAGTGTGTTCCGCCTTTTATAGGTCAGACATTATTTTGACCAGCACTAAGCGTAAACTCGCCCCGTCATCTTTATCAGTAACACGTAATAAGTATTTAAACCATCATATCTCTTTGTAAAATTAATAACTATGTATTTTATTGCTTATAAAAGCGAACTTCGCTACTTTAGGTCACTCGTTATTTCTAATGCCTCCCTTTTGTCGCATTTGATTGACGCCGTTAGGCTTATCACTAATAGGTCGCGAATTTGTAACCGAGGGTCGCGCACCAAAGATTTCTGTTATTGAAACGTTCGATGGCGGCTTTAACTATCTCTGAGTATCGTTCCGGACAAAGGACGTCAAATTTTTTTTGTTTTCACAAAGTAAGCATTTCCTTTTTTGTTTACGCTATCCGGTAGTCTATGGTCACTTATTTATTGCCTAGATTATCTGTCACACACTACTAAGTTAGTGGTCGTATAGACCACTAACTTAGTAGGTAACATCAGGTCTGAATGGCCAAAATTCTAGATGAATAAATAGAATTCTCAGCAACTATCCCCTGCTATAAATTAATGAAACTCTTATCAAGGCCAAACTTCTATTCTGCAAAAAGACATTTTATCTTTTGGAAGTTAGGTAGTTAAGGCACAAACCTTTCTATGAAACATATATTTAGTTTTAGACTTTTCTTTAATGTTTGGGACTAATAGATCGTGACGTCATTTACATGGCATAAATATTAAACTGCGGCGGTTATTATTTTTAATTTTAAGGGAATATTTATGCAAGGAAAATGTCAGCAATAGAATTAATTGATTGCTTTCACTTGACCGGATATCTTGTTTATATGACAAATAACAATGTTTTATCTTATAGCTTTATTAGCCTTATATATTACTTTAATAATCTTGGACTGACACGTGTAACCTAATTACAAAGTATATCCATTCGTACCATCTGTCGGTAGAAACTAAATTATAAATATTTCTATGACAAAAACCAAAATCTCCGTCATTTTTTTGAAAATTATGGAAATCATATCTAAGATACGTTCTAGCTAATATTTTTTTTGTTTCAGAACGCTATTCAGTTTGCGGCGAAAAGAACTGGCGCAATCCTCGGCAAGTGGGAATAAGGCTAAGGAGAACGAAGTTACTCGTTTTTGACTTAATGTATATTTATTGTTGTGTTTCAATGTTACCTGCCTGTTATGTACCTACCACAAATCTCAATAAATTTAAGGTTTTTATTTTATTTTTTTGAAGCCGACTTTTTAATTTTTTTACCCCAATAGTACATATATGTTGCAAGTTAAAGAAATTGCTGCAGTTCATATTTGTAATTATATCTCCTGAGTCATGTCATTAATGGTATTGGCTATTTTTTGTCTTCAAGCCCCTTTGTGAATTAACACTGAGATCCGGAACATTGTTGTCGGAACTGTGGGTCACAAATATACTTGAACAGTGTGGGAATCAAACCCACGACCCCCAGTGCGGAAGTATTATGCGACGCTTAGCAACTGTGCCACTGAGTCATTCGTATTTGTGTATACAGGGTTATTTTAAGACGAAGTACATACTTTGACATAATGTTAATTGAGCGTTCCATAATTCAAAAAAATATTAATATTTTATTTATATTAATGTTATATGTTTATCCCACTAAGAGTGGTCACCCTATTGATAAGCGGTTTAGTAATTATGCGTTCAGCGAAATGTTTAAGTGCTCCTCAATAGGTTATTGTATTGAGTACTTTTTATTGGTATTGACACGGTAAGGCAGGAATTTCTACAGGTGTCCATACTAATATTCTTTGAAAAAATAAACCAATGAGGTCACAAGTACGTACCAGATTCAGATTTAGAATCAAATTCTGCATATGCTCTGTTAATATGTCCGTCGACTATAAAATCAACCTGTATTGTATAAGAAATGTAATTATTATTACGTAGTCTTAAATAATATCTGTTACCCAATCAATGATACACTCTTCGGCCCTGTTTTGCACAAATGATAACATTCTCTAAGACTAACTAGGTTACCCCAATATTCATAACATTCCTTATTTAAATTATGTAACGGCCAAAATTAAGAAAGGGGGGAATGTACAGAATAGTGAGGAATTTATTAAAAGTAAAGTAGTAATCTTTTTTTTGGATTAGAGGGGCCGAATTGATATATACTTACATACATACTTACATATAGCAACTTTTTTCAAAGAGAGCTCGAACTTTCAACTTGGAAGTAACTGATTCGAAAGTAGTAAGTATATTTATTTATAGCTAAACATTATTTTATGCTTTGTAAATTAGGTCCAATAAACTAGGCAACAGATAACCCGTAGGTTGTCAGTTGACTGACCGCATGAAACACCTATCGAAATAGCTACGAATACAATATAATAAAAATAGTAACAATGATGAAAGGAGATTGTGAAAACTTATTATTCATATGAGAGATTACTCTTCTTGGTTGAAGACCAACAGCTCAGTAGTTTGGCGGTAGCGGCGGAAGGAATTTAAAAGGACTAAAATTAAAAACAGAGAGAAAAGAGTTACGCATATTCCTCTAGCAATTACTTTAATTGATCCTGATATTTAAAAACATTAAAAGAAACTAAAACTTATTAAAACCTGGAAATCCTTTGTTTTATAATACTATTTTCGTTGTTTGTACCTAATCCTTACTAATATTATAAACGCGAAAGTTTGTATGTATGGATGGATGTTTGTTACTCTTTCACGCAAATACTACTGAATGGATTTTAATGAAACTTACAATAATATAGCTTATACATCAGAATAAGACATAGGCTGTAATTTATATACATATTCTATGTATATCTGTCTTTCTGTCTGAATGTTACGCCTTCAGCCTCATATATTAAATATCTACAGATAACACTGGTAACAAATATCTTGTCAGTGATGGAAATGAGTTCGAATACAGCTTTGTTAACTTTGTCTCCAACAGTTGACAATGGTCTGTTCATAAAAAGATGGATGTTTTGATTCGCACCCAACGTCACTTTTAGCGGAAGGTTAACCCACGAGTTATCACCATGAAAGTAACACGTAAGTTGTCTGGTTGCATTCATCAAGTGAATGATAGGTCATTATTTTGATATGTATTAGTTACGATAAAATTACATATTGCACGCGCAATATGTAATTTTGCGCAATTGCTTGCGGTCTCGCTCCCAAAGATTGTTAAGATACATTGCACACTGTAAAATTGCCAAAAACGCTGCTTTCAGACTCCGTGGCCTGATTAATAATTTATTGGCTTCGGCGTCAAGGGTCGGGGATTCGATTCCCACACGGAACAAGTAGTGTTACCCACAGATAATTGTTCCCTATCTGGGTGTTAGTTTTACAAGGAGGGTTGACGTCAAGTGGACGTAACGACCGACGTTAAAAAGATAGCCAAAACCGCTTACAACATGTTTCACATGTTGTGCCGACCGCACCTAGATACGCAATTTAATTTTAGTGCAAGTCTGCACTTAAAATTATAGATGTTTAGATAAATTTTCAATTTTTTTCGCCGCTGCCAGTAATGGAACCTTTTTTTATCCGCAACCCTGCCAGCGCTTGCCGCCTCGACAGCCCCCTCCCGGGTAGCAACTCCCCTCTCCTCCAGGTAAGGCGCCCTGGAACATGCAGCGCGCCTTCCTACTCGGCCCGGTTTTAAAGGCCGATGAACTCTGTCGAGTTCGCTGAACGGGGCCATGGAAGCCAGAAGAGCCAGTGCTAATAAGCAGCAAGCCAAGCCCTCCCAGCCCAACGGCCGTCTGTGACTCCGCCGAACACCACGTTTCGGCCGCGAAGGGTAGGGAGAACGGCGCATCGCAATACCGACACTCCTCTCCCCCCGCAGCACCACCACCACTGCATCAGCGGTGTAGCCGCAGCGAGGAGGATAGGGAGAGCGCGGCCAACGCAATACCGACACTCCTCTTCCCCCGCGGCTCCTCCTCGGGAGCAGATGACGGGGAGAGTGGCTTCACTTCTACCACCCTCGACCTGTCCCCTGCACCCTCCATGCCTGCATGCTTCGCCGTGGGTGACCAAGCCACCGCTAGTCGTCAAGGCGGGAATCCGGTCGGAGGGGTGCCAGTATTGGAACCTACGCCATCCGGGTAACGCATACAAAGGCTCTAAACGTTAAGCTAAGAAGTCGATATCCTCGTCATTACAGCCTGTTTGAGTCCACCGTCAAACACAGGCCTCCGCCACATACAATGCTGTGTGGCATGAAGCACGATCTTAACCCAGCTGAACCCATCGACTTCCGGCACATTTGCAATAGGCTGTTGCGTGCCCTATTGCAATTGGCCTGGTCCTACCACAGTAAGTATTCAAAATCATCATATAAAATTAAAAAATTAAATATTTCTTTACTCTGTTTTTTAGTATTTGTTATAGCGGCAACAGAAATACATCATCAGTAACAATTTCAACTGTCTAAATATCACGGTTCATCAGATACAACTTAGTGACAGATGGACAGAAAAACAGACTTCGGAGTCTTAGTAATAGGGTCCCGTTTTACCCTATGGGTACGGAACCCTAAAAATAATTTAATTTTCTGCTGAGCAATGAATAATTTCATTGAGTTTACATGAACGTTTAAGGGTTGACTGAAAGCGTATTGCTTGATTTCTCTTACGTTGAACATTCAAGTTTTTTTATCGGACATTATCATCATTATTCATTATCAGTTCGTGCAAAATTCATCCAATATTTTGTTAGCTAGTATTCTTTATTTATGTATTCTCAAGTCCATTAATTAACCATGTCTGTCGGTGATCTAACAGATAAAACATCAAAAAAAAGTTTGATGATTAGGTCCGTATGATATTAACGTTTTTCAGTTGTACCATGATTTAACGTAAATACATAAGCTGTAACTAACGCTTTTTAGCAATGAAGGAGGTCTTACAGACTTAAATAAATAAGAGGATACTTACCAAATTTCAAAAATTTTACAAAGTTCATAAATATTATTAGTAAATGTTACATCGAGGTTTATAGTTTTATACGAAGTGAAACAGTGAATTTTTAAAAATTTTATTCCTTTCATAATTTTTTTCTACGTGTAAAATAAAAAATCTTCTTTCGTTTTATTAATTGCTCTTTAAATATTATTTATATTAAATCTCATAAAAGTACACGATGTTTCAAAAGGACATCTATCGGCGTTTACTTCAGTTACATTTCACCTCATTGAGTGAAACTAAAACTTCAGTTTGAAATCCTTTGATGGGACCTTCGTCACCGGCGATTTTTCAACGGGATCTTTGTTATTTATTAGCAATCTTATATATCTCCCTTGAAGTTCAGCGGTCAGAGAAACGCCCAACGTCTCGCAATTGCGTAAAATCTCCGTGCAACCGCGGATATCCCTGTTACGTACTGGAAAACAAAGGATAAACTGTGTATATACTATGGCTATTGCTTTAAAGTACGGAATAGAGAAAACAGTTTTCACTGATATTTGCGAATGCTTAAAATGTGTAAATTTTTTGTAGATAAATGAACAAAAACCTTCGCCCCTGGGGGATTCAAACCTACGTCTACCGTATCGTTCACAGACGCTTTGCTGATTAAGCTAACCGACCGATGTAATTTTACAGCGTGAAAAACTGCTTAGCGCCATCTAGTGAGCGCACTTTACATTGCATTATAACAAGAACTATGAACATTTGCAACGAGGTGCCGCTTTTGCTCTTAAAATTTTTATATTAATTACAAAAATTCACATTGTAAAATCCATCTTAAGTGCAGAGACTAGCAGTAAAAAAATAATCCTGCAAAATAGTGAATATGTGGACAAAATTGTATTGTTGTTAATATAGTTGAAGAGATGACTAGGTTGAGAACGGTTTTTTTAAGTTTACATTTTAAATAAATTTTTGAATACGGTAAAAATACACAATAATCATATTACGAGACATTTTTATTAACAAAAAAACAAAACTGAATTCAAATATCTCACTCACTATACTTTTTTCTCTTGAATTTTGAAGTGTTCCCTGGTGTATTTCTGGGGTTCAAGGTAGAATACCAATAACATTCATATGGGAGCACATGGGAGCTAAACCAAAAGCAATGCAAAAAAAAAATTTAAATCGGTTCATAAATGAAGGAGTTCTGAGATAATAAACAAATACAAATACAAATGAATTGTACTCAGATGTCGGTTGTAAAATAAGGGGTTGAAAAATAGCGGTTGTAAAATTAATAATAAACCCTTTAACCCATGGACATCAATTTATTTGTGCTTCGGACCTTACATTTAGTTAAATGAAAAATCAACAAAGCCATAATAGTAGTGCAATAGAACAAAGTGAAGAGATTTGTTTCCAAGTGGGGAAGATAGAATTTCTATTTGTTTCAGTCAGAACCATAAACTAATATTTTTCTAACTATTTTCAATAGGGGGAGATAGGGGGGGCAAATATGAAATTACAGATATAAAATACATTAATAGAGTATGACTTCCATAGATGGATGCCGGTGGGTTAGAATTGTGCTTCGGACAGTCTGTGGAGGAGACCAATGTTCAGCAGCAGACACAAACAAAGTGAAATGAGCATGACAAAACAGAGGGTAACAAATACTCTATATATAGAATAGATAGCGTTTTTACGTCTGGGATTTCACTCTTTGTGGTCTCACTTATACATGGTGCTATTGTCTGCACTTAAGATGAAATTTTAAATATTTGTAGAAAAGTTGTCATTATAACTAATTATGTACATATTTTAGAACAAACGGGAAAATCAATAGAGAATGTAATTAACAAGCATGAAGATTTTGACTTACACTTGTATTGGAATAACACTTGTAGGACATTGGTATACTCTGTCATCATTTTATATTTTAGTAATGTTTGAAGCAATCTCAGAACAGCATCATCATTATACTCCCTTAAAATAGTAATACTAAATACAGTTGCCCTGTAAGGTAAATAACAAAAATTACAATTAACTCCACTTTAAAAGTGACCATCAAGTTGAATCTTATATATTTCTGACTCCAGTGAAGCTTGCCAGAAATACAATTTTAATAAGGTAAATGTAAATAACTACAACTTTGGCGTAATTCAATTAAAATAAATTTTAAACGATAGAGAAAAATCACTAATGAATTTATCAACAAGCAGAATTCGGCGGTCGCTTATAGTTTTCGAAAAAATAAATAATGAAATATTGTGATTTTTACTATAGAAATCCGCCATTTTTTTGTTGTCAATATGTCAATTTGGTCGTATTTCTTGGTGGTCATAAAAAAAACCTAACCACGAAGGTTAAGGCGGGAGCGGAGCTCCTGAACCTTCTAACCTAATCTATCCGAGTCAGATTCGCTCTGTGTCAGTTCTGTGACTAATTAAATTTAAAAAAAATTTAACTATCGATACGAGTATGATGTCGCCCGCTTCCTATATTTATCATGTTGGCAGAACTGTGTATTAAGTGTTTGAAGTCAAATTAATAAAATGGTGGATTTCTTAGGGAAAACAATAAGTTTTAAATTTTTTTTTTTTCTCCAAAACTATAAGCGACCGCCTAATTCTGCTTGTTGATTAATTCATTAGAGATTTTTCTCCATCGTTTAAAATTTATTTCAATTGAATTACGCCAAAGTTAAGTTATTTACATTTGCCTAATAATCTTTTAAAATTAATTGGAGTTAATATTCAATATCATTAACAATATTAATTCTACATAAAATTAATATTATTATAGGTTTTCTACAGAGAGTGCCCTTTGGTTATAGCTATGATAAAAAACACTAGAATTTATTACGTACAGAAGTCCATACATTGAAAGAAATAAGTCGGAATATTGTTTATTTATTCCCACTAAACACAGCCGCACAATATGCATAATAATATACTTAGTAATGTATACTTTCTAATTCAATACACTTTTAACACATGGGTATTTTTAAATAATCTATAACATCAATGAAATCTATAATTGAGCTGATGGGTCACTTGACATTTGCAATACCCATAAGGTCCAAGAAGCTTTACCACCTTATAACAAAGTGTACCCTGGATACCTGGTCAATCCACCAGAAGAAACGCAGAAATGTAACAATTCCACTTCATGTCAGTCTTCTGAGAGTTTGTGGTATTTCCATGGACGAACTTGCCTATTCATGCAACAATGAATCTCATGACTGTATCAGAAATTTTTGTTTTAAAATGATTTGGGGTAACATTTTATTTACTTACTTCTCCTTTATTACATTCTGCAGACTTTTAGATGTTTCAAGTAACTCATCGGCTAGTATTTGATCAGAGTACCAAGTACTACTCCAGCAAATATGCCAGAAGCATACTAGAGGATAATTTTCATTCCATTTGGTACTAAACTCCAAAACATACTTCTTAAATATAACTAGAGTGGCCTCAGACCTGTTTAATACAGAGTCGTGTATCAATTCTCTAAATAGAATTCTATAAAAAGCCCTTAATCCTTCATATTTTGTGTAACAATCTAATAAAATTGAGAGACCTTTCTCAGAATTTCCCTTGAAACAATGAGCTGTAGCCAAGCAATGTTCAAAATCTCCATTTCTCTTATGAAAATTGTAATGTACATTTGAAGAATATTTTTGAAGAATAATTACAACATCAGGTTTTCCTGCTGTACTATAACTTCGGAATAATTTTTTTAATGTATTCTCACTAATAAACTTTTTATGGTCACAAAAATATTTTATCATATCTACAATTTGTTTATCCTTAATTTTACATAAATTGTTTAATATTACTTGGTCAATCTCTTCATTACTCATTTCTTCATATTCCTTATCGTTATTAAATTCTGATTTACTGAAATAAAACTTCCGGTCATGTCCTGTAAATAACATATTAATATTGGATCCCTGGAGTTTTGTCTGGCTTCGTTGTAGAAATTCATTTGTAAACGCATCAATAGTGTATGCTGTCGAAGTAAAAAATCTACAAGTTGAAAAAGCAACATACGGAGAACATCTCAACATTTTGTTTCGTATGCAATATGCAATACAATTTAATTTATTGGCGTGCATATTGTTTCTCTTAATTATATATTTTGTTACTTGTATCACAGAAATAATTTTATAAATATCAACTTATTAGTAAACTACATATTTAAAATATGATATGAAGATAAGAAATGAAAAATATTGATTACTTTTACTGTACAACTGTCAAGTGTCAACTACAATGATACAATCAATTTCAGCACAACAGTATATATGTCTTAACTATGACAACAAATGTACTCTGTGACCACAATGTTATGTTATGTAGTAGGCATGGGCAAAAAATATCAACATATAAAAATATCGATATTTTTCCGTACAATTATCGATATTTTTACCGTGATATATCGATATTTGATATTTATTTCTGGCTATCGAAATCGTGTCTATGTCGATATATAAATTTTTTAACACAACTCTGGTTTCGCGTTTAATGTGAGTAGATACTCTTTGCATACTCCTCGTGCATCGTTAATTTTATACGTTACTTGTACCGTAATGGGTTAAAAATATCAAACATTATAAAGTTATCAATGTGCCTTGTCGATATTTTTAATTGAAATTTATAAATAATCTTAAATTTTTTATCGCAACTCTTAGTTTCATGTTTAATATTACTAAATACTCCTTACTGCCTACTTTATGGAGCAACCATGCGATTCATTTATTTTAAAAATTGAACTTCTCCTTAAACTCATGTCGAGTTGATTCGCCCAAATTTTAGGGCAAAGTATGCCAATTAATATCAGGTTTTCGTCACCGTCTATATATCCAATGTGTGAGGCTTCTTCGGCGTCTGGCAGCACATTAAACAAAGGGTACCTAATGTCAATATCTATTAAATCAATAATTGATGAACACTGGTTTGCGTAAATTGTTTCTTAAGAAAACTGTTTATTAAAATATGTAGAAAAAGTGCGAAAAGATTGTCGCCGCTGTGGGAATCGAACCCACGTCTTCGGCATGTGGTAATCAGCCGTTTAGCTCAGTGGCTAGAGCGTCAGGCCGCGAATGCCGAAGACGTGGGTTCGATTCCCACAGCGGCGACAATCTTTTCGCATTCTTCTACATATTTTAATGTTCAATCTTAAGTGCAAAGATTAGCACTATAAACAATTTAAATTTCTAAAAAAAGCAATGGCGACATCTCTCGTTCGAATTATCGTTGTAAAACGATATTCGAAGTTGTTTGTATGCTGGAAAGGATATAACAATAGATGGCGCCAAGCATTGCTTCAAATGCTAAGAAAAAAACAATGTGGAAGAATGCGTTAAGATTTTCGTCGGTGTGGTAATCAGCCGTTTAGCTCAGTGGCTAGAGCGTCAGGCCGCGAATGCCAAGACGTGGGTTCGATTCCCACAGCGGCGACAATCTTTTCGCACTTTTTCTACATATTTTAATGTTCAATCTTAAGTGCAAAGATTAGCACTATAAACAATTTAAATTTCTAAAACTATTTATTGGTTTCCACTGAGGTATGGCCACAAAAGCTGTTTTTTTATTAATTCATAAGTTTGAACTTTACATTACATTTGTATTATTTCCTATGGGAATGAATATTGATCATTAAGTATGAACAATATAGCAAAAAATTACGATATATCGATATTTTACTCGAAAACTACTTTACTATTTAAAATTATAAATATATTTTTTCACTTGCCCATCCCTAACAAGATAACTGACACAATGAAACACTTGCTTGTCATTTGTTTCCAATTGACAGATAAAACAAAATATTATAGATTATTTTCAAGTATAGTGTAGATTAATTAGTATTTTTTTTTTTTTTAAGCTCGAATAGCTTTAAGTTACAAAATATTTTTGTGTACGTGTAGTTTGCTGTTAGCCCGGCAGTTTGACAGTTTTGTCGGAAAAGGTGTGTTGGTAAACAACCCGTGGACTCAGAAGATTCAACCTAGCTAGTGTACGATGACGTCGTCCACTTCGCTGCATCTCTACGACTCTCTTTTATCAATGCTGAAATATTTGGGACATAACACGATCCATAGGCCCGTCAGATGGTGGCACCTTATCGGCTTGGATGGACCTTAATAAAATTAAAAACGTGCTTGATCATATGTGTATTTTATAATGTAGTACTTGGAGGACCTTTTTTTTTTTGATAAATCGTGTATTTTGGAAATAAAAAAAATAAAAAATAAAGAAAGCAATGATCTGGTATAGAAATAAAAGTAAAAAAAAATCAAGTGTGTAAATGATCGTGACACGAACCGCAGCCTTCTGTTTTGGGGCCGCCCGATTACCGACCGAGCTATTATAACATTTTTTTTCCTTCCATTCATTTTTCATTCCCTGAAAACAGGGATTAAAAGGACATTTTCTAAAAATGAAACCTAGCTAGATCGATTTTTCGCCCCCGAATGAATAATAATAAAGAATACGCATACTAAATTTCATGAAAATCGCTAGAGCCGTTTCCGAGATTCCGATTATATATAAATATATATAAGAATTGCTCGTTTTAAGGTATTAGATATGTCGAGTTGTCGAGTCCGCAAGCGAAGTGGGTTATCAACGTCATTTTTTACATACATTCATTCACATAGGCGTAATCTTGGAAGTATAGGATGCGGGATTGATAAAAATTTTTTAAATAGCAATAATTATTGAATTATTGCTCACCGCCCCAGCCAAGATTAATACAGTCAATAGCTCGAGGGTTGTGGTACGAACCGAACCTCGCCCGGCCCATAGGTGTTTCTTCCTTAAAAACCACGCGTGCTTGAGCACATGCGTGTTGTATCAAGTTGTTACATCTAGCTATTTCACGAATTCGGCGTTGGATAAAGATTTAATAGTCTAAGAAATGAAAGCAGAAACATCAGTCAAAGTAAAAGTAAGTATCTTATTAAAAGGTGGTAACGCATCTCCAAACCTACGGGTGTCGTAAATGTCGCAATGGGCGGACGTTGTCACTTATCATGCGAACTGGCGGCACGTTTGCCACCTTCTCATATAAAAAATATCCAGTGGACATGGACACAAATATTCCTGCCCTCAACGGATTTTTAATAGTTTCCAATATATATAAAGTGGTGATAGAGACCTGAATGGTTCAATGATGGATACTGCGCATCTAGGCCTAATTCGACACACACTTTGGATCGTATCGTGTCACTCTTGTTAGTCGAATTGTCCATATTTAGTTGAAAAGGACCGCGGAGATGTACTAGTGGGGCGGACGGTTGCGTCGTGTCGTCATGCACAAGCTACAAAGTCCCTGGGTTGTATGCCAGTGAATCTCTTCCGACGAAACTGTTCAAGTCATTTTTCTAACAGCAAACTGCACTGCAATCCAATTTATTTTAAAATATATTACTATTTAAATATGTGTAAATACATAATTATATATTACTAAATTATCTATTAAAATACTAATATACTAATAAATCATTTTATTTTAAACTTTTATCTCTCTGCCATCTATTGGAGACCTGATTTACTAATATTAAACTATGTTCTATGGTTACAATTTTAATTATGCATAAAAACACAGATGGCGGTATAAGTAAAATTTTGCCATTAAAAAAAAGAGCGTATTTGTAAAGTCCGGTGACTTTCTGTACCTTTTCCCAGGATTTTTCGATAGCAATCTCTAATAAAATCAGTCGCATCGCATGTTATTTTGCCCTCTCCAACTTAAATATAAATTCTCAAGTCTATACAATAAACCTAGTACTATGTTTTGTATTATGTCTCATGATACTAGGTACAATTTATTGTTGGGCTTGTATAAATTCAGCTAAATAAGAGGACGTTTACACATTGTGAAAAACGCTCATTAACCCTTTACCGCATAGAAATCCATAATATATGTTTCACCAGATTCAGTATTTTTTTCATGTAATGAAGCATGAACAATAACTATTCGCATTGTTTTATATTGTATTTAATATGTTGGCAATGCGAAAAAATTTTTTGTTGGCTATTGTCAATAGGTACGTTAATTTAGTTAAAACTTCACTTTTCTAAGCGCGGGTTTGAAATTCGACACAGTGGCTGTAAATTCGTTTTTCAAAAACGTTTTTCTACATAAAAAAGGCAAGATTCGTTGGTTAAAAAATTATTTATTAGTAATAAAATTATAATGTTATTCTTAGATTAAAAGTATGTTTTATTTGTTTGATACTTTTTCTTATTTCTATCATATTTGGTGGCCTTTTGCATGAAACCATATATATAGTTTTGCATGCATTCTAACCTAAACTAACCGTTTTACTGCGGATCCAAATATGGTTTCACATGCACTTGTAATTTTTTTTTATAAGCATGGTTGCAGAATGGATCCTGCCCCCTTTTATGGCTTTAATAAGTACGTTAATCCTATATCTGGTGATGGCTTACAAAGTGGTGATGAATTGAGCTTCATATTCTGATAGAAAATATGTTCCATCTAAAGAATTTCCACTTCACTCCAAGAAGATCTCTTGTTATACTCGAAACAGATATTCCACTGATAACAAAACTGACCCTCCACTTATAACAAAACTGATCCTTCACTAGCCACACGGAAAAAAATAAAAACACATGCAAATAATAAAATATTTTTGATGATTTACCTGTATGCCAAAAATGTCTTGCGTCCACAAAACTTACACCATGTGCAAAATCTCTTTATTTTACAACGTCACGTTTCTCTTATGTTACAACGACAAACGAAACTGTTTGTCGGCATTTCATGATTAAAATTACGGTAGTTATTTATATTATCATTAAAACTAAAATTTCTAATCCTTT